AGACATTAACACCATTGGATGCGAGCTCAGTGGTCTATCGGTCAAGTGCTCTGGCGTGAGACTGGTAGGTCCTAGGTTCAAATCTCGCGAGGCGAGATCGTCAGTGCGCACTGCTGAGGAGTCCCATAATAGGGCGAAACGACCGTCCAGTGCTTCCAGGTTTTCCATAATGATCTAGCTTCAATTGACTCGTGATTTCAACTATGAAGAATCAAAACTCTTAACTTCTGGTTTGACCAGAACTATGTTATGTAATTAGTATGAATATGGTTGTTTATACATTTGTTTAGCATATCATAAGCATATTGTTTTTTATTTATATTTCATATGGTCATGATTAAATCTGTTTTATTTTACTGAATTCATTAAAATGATACACATTATTCAGCATTCATTTCTATAACAGAGAATCTTTTTTTTTTGGGTGACTGTTATGTGAATTTCAAGTTAATACAAGGTAAATAGATAAATGAATGGATTAAATAAAATTTTATTGATTTGGATATTATGTTAACATATGTGCACACTGCTGAGGAGCCCTATACGAGGATGAAACGGTCATCTGGTGCTTCTAGGTTTTCCATAGTGGTCTAGTTTAGATTGACTCATGAATTCAACTGTTGACACATACACATTTGTTTTCCATTATGTTTTTTGTAACGTATTAGTGTGAAAGTCACATGCATTCAACTTACATATACTCTGTATTAAAATAATATATATATATATATATATATATATATATAATAGAGTAGGACAATACTGGTGACCAAGTATTTGCTAACGAAATTACCTAAAAATAACCAAAGAAAGGTGAACATAATTGAGAAGTTATTTGATTTTATGACAAGGTAGAGTAATGTATAAAGTTCAAACTGGAAATCTAGATTAGGAGAAATATTTCACGTCAAATCATGACGTGCTTCTATAGTGATGCTTAATTTAGTGCCTTTAAGTGGTTGCTTCCCATTAATACTAACGAAGTAAGCAGCAATATCAAAAGACTATTGATTTTAGGGAATCATTTATTACTACTATAGTGAGGGCAAACAAATAAATTTGAGTACTTTACAGAATACCTTGGTTAAGTCTGAGAACCATACAGTAATACTTCGTTTGCAAAATATCCATCACTTATCTCAGACTTTGTTGTTCCTTCGTTTTTCTCAACCTTCTGCCACCAGGCATTCCACTTCCGATTGGTGATACATACTACTTATATCTGTTGACATCAGTAGCATACATAATACATTACTGCTACTACTGCTACTACTACTACTACTACTACTACTACTACTACTACTACTACTACTACTACTACTACAGTTCATTCCTCTTTAACGATATCATGACAACCTTTATACTTTACCAGCCAAAAGTTGAAACTTGATGAACATGCTTGTGTTTAACAGCATATAATTGACCTGTGTTGTACATAAGAAAAGTAACAATGAATGCATAATTTCTCCAGTCTCTTTCTTATTCTCTTTACATTTCCCAGTTGTTCTAGAAAATGTGTTTGTTAGAAAAGTCACAATCATGTAAACATGTAAAGGATATGCAACTGGCTATTGAAAATTGAAATTAAATACACCACTTCTTACGTGACTTAGTGAAGACTATCTCTTCTTTTATATTATGATAATAAAAATGTTTTGAGTGGTGAGAAAAAGTGAAACTTATCAACTCCCTAATCGTATACTACGTACCACTAAGTTTGATGACCTGAATTTTTCTTAAATAACCAATTGTTTCTCGATTTCACTGTATTATATTTTGGTGTAGTCCACCTGGACTTTAGATAATGTTCACTAGCAGTATCAGTATAGATGTGCAATATTAGTGATTACTTGGAAATATTCTGTACTATTACTGAAACTCAAGTTAGGGTTTTACATTAGATACATAGTTTACGTACCCTCGGAATGTATGTACAGATATAGCGTAATGAAATATTTTAACCAATTCTTATCCATGAAGATAGGTGATGCGTCATGCTAAATTAAATTTAAGATCTTATTTCCAGCTGAATAACCTAAATTGTTAGATGACAGGATAGAATGAGATGAAAACTAAGCTATTGTAAAATTTGATTAAGTGGACTACTTATGCACCTCCACGAGGGATAACAGGCTTAAATAAATCATCAGAAAAGTAGTATATCCAGATATTAGTATGATTTATTTTGGGGGTCAAAAAATCTATATCAACTGTCTTTATTTTTTTACTGTATGTTGTCGGATTTAAGGTTTCCAGTACCAATTCACTTAAACAATTCCACAGACATAACAGTCTTAAATAAAAGGAATAGATCTAAAAATATGCTACAGAAAAGTTGTAAATTGATTTGAGCTATCAGTAGAGAAGGCTTTATGCTGAATTTTTACCAGCCAGAGTATGTGATTGACTGATTTTAGGTATACAATCATTAAAAACTGAATAATACCGAACAGCTATTCTGCTCTAATTTTGAACTCCACAGTGGCATTTATGCATAGCTGCTTTAAACATAAAACTCAGTGGTTGAATTGCTTCATGAGGGATGTTGTGGGTACACACTGATAAGCAGTCTGATAACCTCATAGATTGTGGAAATGGACATTTCTCTCAGGGGACATCAGTTCCCCCAAAATTCCATATTTCACTTACTGACTATTCTAAACTAACACTAAACCAAGGTTCAGAATCGTTAATAGAATACTTAGAGTTACCTAAAATGAATTTTTATTTTCTAAAACTGTACACGCTTACTCCTATACAACTCGAGACTACAACATAGTGTTCATCAGGTTACATAAATAACATCTTAACTAAATAAAAAAAGTATAACACCAGTCTCGCACGCGAACACCTAACCTCTAGCCCATTGAGCCGGCATTCAACGGTTTTAATATCGAACTTCAACTAATCCATAATATAACCCAATCGTCCTTCACTGTCTTCAGTGAATAAAATACCTCACACCAGATACGGCTGAACTTCAATGGTCATAACTTCTCACTAGAACTTCAATAAATCCATCTTCTCAACCCTATACTGATAATTATCATGTGCTCACTAGTGACTAGCTTTAAAATGTGTTAATTAATGTAAATAAAAACGAAAGAGAGACAATATCTATGAAACTTCATTATCGCATATAATTGATAAATTATTTAGCACATATATGTAACATAAAAGATTTATTTATACGGTTTAATTCCATTAAAAAAAAAAGAATAAAACAATTGAGTAGTATGTATTCAAATGAATAAGAATTCTAATTGTAAATGTCATGCTCAACTCATAGTTCCAATGTGTTAATTGATAAACTAGAAAGATTGTAAAGTAAGGTCCGATTAATGTTAACACCTTTTATAAGAGTAAAAAAACGTCAGAAGGGGTTTTGTGGAGATTTCAGTATTTTCATAGTTGAACTCATTAAACAATTAAAGCTAGATCACCAAGGAAAACCTGGAAGCACTGGACGGCCGTTCCGTCCTTTTATGGGACTTCTTAGCAGTGCGCATCCACGATCCCGCCCCGTGAGATTTGAACCCAAGACCTATCAGTCTCGCACCTCCAGACCACTGAGCCAGTATCCAACGGTGTTCAACTAATCCACAAAATCGAGCAACCAACCACTATTGTCTTTAGTGAGTTGTTATCTCACAACAGACCTGGTTGAACTCCACTGGTCACTGCTTCTAACTTGAACTCCAGGAAACATCCCTTGACGTCAATCACTAGTGAGCATATGAATCTCGCGAGTGCGGGATCGTGGATGCGCACTGTTGAGGAGTCCCATAATAAAACGAAATGGCCGCCTAGTGTTTCCATGGTGATCTAGCTTCAATTGATTCATGATTTCAACTATGAAAAAACCTGTTCCTTTTTTGGTGTTCAGTCTTTTTTTTCACAACTCAAGACTTTCTTAACCCTCCATTATCTTTTTATTTATTTATATTACACCATATTACTTGATAATGATTCCAACAAAGTTTACCGTTGATAAGGTTTGTAAAATATGATATCCATTTATTGCCCTATTAGTTTCTCCTTCTTATTTAACAGCTTTAAATAGTTTTCCTTTTTGCATTTCTCTCTGTTTTAAATATTATTTTTGTCCCGTTTATTCATGTGACTATATTGTGTGTATTACTGATGTCGATAGATATAAGTAGTATGTATCATCAGTCGAAGGTGAAATGCCTGGAGGCAGAAGGTTAAGAAGATCAAAGAAGGAGAGGACGAGAACAAAGAATGATTAGTACGGTCCTCAGATTTCATTGAGATGTTCTGTAATTTTGTGTTCAAACACATGCGATTGTCCCCACTTGTATTCTCGTTTACTACATTTGGTGTGTCTGCAAACCAGGGGGGGGGTAAGGGTACTGTTCTGCGGACGCCAATGCGGGCCTGGAACTAAGGTGCTAGTTGGTATGATATGTGCGACTTAGATCTACATAAGTAGTATATAACGCTAGTCAGGAATCGAATGTCTGGCAGCAGAAGGTCAGGAAAATCTAGGAGGGAAAGAATGAGAACAGAAACCAATTGGTATGGGAATGTAAAAATAATGAAGTTTGACATTGTTATCTTCGTGTTGCTTTCTTTAATGAGTCACTCTATATTAATCTTGGATTGTTGGTTCTTTTAGAATGCATTGCAAGATGTACTGTATCATAAGCGTGGTAAATGGTTCCTTTTGTTGTTTTGATATGTCATACTATATAGATGTTTCTGGATAAAGTTTACTTAAGTAATCAATTTATTTATACTAAACTAAATGAAAAGTGTATATTTGTGTTTTACTTAATTAAAAGTGTGATAACATTTGATCAATAAGCGTTAATAAGATGTAGTGAAAGCGTTTTTTTTAATTTTAAATAAATCTGGGTCATTAAGCTCGATTATATACTGTTGCATTAAGTATGAATTTCATAGTTGTTATTGATTCTGGTTAGTGCTTAATTATTCGTTATTGAATTAGATTATGATGACGATGTAGTTAGTTATATTACGGATAAGCAATATCTGCCTCACTATTACATTCTGTCATTATGTTATTTGACTTTCAAAAATATTTTATTTTATGTAAAATTCATTATCAATCTTTGCTAATAGCTTTTATCAGTTTGTCTAAGTTTGGTGTAGTGAAAACAAGGTTAATTAGTCAAAGTTAATCAATAGAAAGATCTCAACCTATAACCTTTATTTAGATGTCACTAAAATAAATTTATTGTGTTAAAGCAGTTAATACTGCCAATAGGATTGAAATTCATTCTGCTCAATGTTAAAGTTATAATTAAGTTATATTGAAAGTGATTACCCATTTATAGGATTAAAAAATTCACATTGGTCTTTTCACATTAATTAATATCATATTTTAATACAATACACAAAGTTCAATACGCTTAATCAACCAAATATGCGAATAAAGAGATTGAGAAATGAATAAGGAGTTGTAATTGATGTACTTAATTCATTGGTATACATACATTTATCATTTTGATTCAGAATCTAGACATGACGGTTGAAATCTTGACTTTATTCATTGGTTCAAAGCATTCAGTAGAGTTAATAATGTGATACTTTATGAGTTTCCCCACTTCTTTATGGACAGTAAATTATCAAAACTGGAGACAATGTCTTCAGACGATCATGGTAATATAGAAAGAAAATAGTACAAGCCTTCCCTATTTCTAAACATATTCCATAACTAATTAAGCCATGTAAATGTAAAAAATCTCGGTAAATCGATAAACAGTGTTGAGACTTTCAAAATAAACTGAAATCTACGTTTATCATATTCTAGGGGGCTACAATAAAATATACAAACCATAGAATTATAAAAAAAGACAAATAAGTTAAATCTAGATCAGATAAACTTAATCATACAAACAATACTTCAAATTATTGATTAATTGAAATGATTTGGCATTTTACACAGAAAGCATTATCATTTAAAGTGGAAATACTGTAGTGAACAGGAACACGAGTAGGGACAATCGAAAGTATTTAAGCACAATATCTCATTTGAATATGAGAACAATATACTGAACAGTTAATTTGTAAAATAACAATCAATTGTCTCAGTTTGACTGTTTCTTCTGCAAATATCCATCCATAGTCTCCGATTATAAGTGTGTATGCGTTTGCGTACCATTTGTATGTTGTTCCCGTACTCTCCTTATCGATCTTCTACTGAAATACATTCAATGCCCGACCATCACCATATACTACTTATGTAGATATCAGTAACTCACACCACAATACAATCGTCACTCAAAATCAGCAAATAAAGTTATACTACTCTAATATAATATATAAGTAGAATAACAATTTATATGAATAAATACATAATTGAACTAATTAGTGCGTACAAACGAAGATAGTGTTGACCTTAATGAATTTCCTAATTCCATTGTATTTTGATGAGAAATTTTATTTGTTATTGGTAATGTTATTGGTGGTAGGGGGAACAGATTGGCCTCTTTACATTTTGTCTTAAATGAAAGAAAAATGGAAACAAATCAAATGTAATATAAATTTAGATGTAAAAAAGTTTCCATTTATATAAATAATGGATACGTGATAAGTTTAACTACACTTTAAAAAGTCATTTATCACAATTGAGCCGAGATTTAGACAAGGAAGAAATCCAGCTACATTTTCTAGCTTACTTACATAATATTTTATTATTAGGGCGTTTAAAAAATAAAAGTGAGAAGCAGTGACTAGTGGAGTTCGAACCACTTCCGTTATGAGATAACTCACTGAAGACAATTGGTGAACGGTTGCTCAAACTTCGTGGATTGGCTAAAGTTAGACATAAACACCGTTGGATGCCGGCTCAGTGTGGTTTATCGGTTAAGTGCTCTGGCGCGAGACTGGTACTTCCTGGGTTCGAATTTCATAAGGCGAGGTCGTGGATGCGCACTGCTGATGAGTCCCACAATAGGACGGAACGGCCGTCTAGTGGTCCCAGATTTTCCTTGGCGGTCTAGCTTCAATTGACTCACGCTTGCAACTATGAAAATTCTAAATCTTCACAAAAACCCCTTCTGATAAAAATAGAAATGAGTAAGTTATATTTCTGCGACGATATACTATAATTATGTTTGTTTTAATTCATTTGGTTAATCACTTGAAGAATTCGAACAAAGCGAAATTGACAGAATTCATTGGATGAAACGAACTCATTCCACCTAATGACTTGTTATTAAGTTACATGTTAATAGCATGAATAAAAATGCGAGTTTCGTATACTGAATTTAGATAAACTCTGATTTATGTTTAAAACTGAAAAGGAGGTTGTCAAGGCTTGTAAGTTTAGGCTACTACTGACCTATGAGAAGTCTTGAAGTATTATGATGAATGTATGGTATCATGGAAAACTTAATGTTTTTCCCAATGGTTCTACTATTTCTGTAATGAACGAAGCATAACGATTCCTTTTGTTCTAATTGTTAGAGTAACAAATATAAGGATCTACAAGGTTGATCATTTTTAAACGATGCAAGAAGATGTACACGGCTCTAAAGACAACAGTAAATACAAATTCTAAAAAAAATAATTATACACTGATTGAATAAGTTGATAGTGATTTGGAGAGCCAATCAGAAGTAACAAAAAGTCAATTGATTGCGATCAGAAGTGACCCTAAGGTCAAGTGCATTTGATTGGGATTAATTTCCTAAAGATAGTGTAGGATATATAGGAATGAGTGTTTGTGCATTTCATATGGTAGTTCAATACACTTCCTCGCTCACTTTTTCGTTTTCGCTCAAGTATCCAGTTGGGGGGTTAGCGCATAGTATACCGTGTATCACTATCGGATTTCGGACACCACACGTCACAACAGATGGCTATCTGAATCAGTATCTCAATATATATTATATTGCCGCCGAAAAAGATAAGTGTGCTGGGTTTTATTCTCAGTACGAACACGAACACTGAAATGGAGTTATATTCTACATAGAATAGATCCAAAATTTCACTGCCAGTGATAATCAATATTATAAAAGTGATAACAAATATTCGAAAGCGGGTTAAAATTATTCAGCTTTCTTAATACAAAACAATCAAGGTGTTTATCAGCCAAAAAAATTGAAGTAAACGATGGTGTTGAACAGACAACTCGATTCTCATACTCATTCTTACTCGTAAATAGGGCAGTCGTGACGTGATAGCTAGTCAGTTGACATGTACTCCGAGATAATTGGTAATGACCAAAACTTTACAGTAAATGAGACGAGATTCTACCATCTAACTTATCCTAATAATATGTCAAAGATGTCGAAAATGATTTGATGGATAGGGAGTAAACCAGTATTTCTTACTTTGTCTTCTCCAATATGATTATATGGTTTATTTGAAGATGTAAGTTGGCCAAATTCATTTGCATACTTTAATGCAGCAGTATGCAATTGTGATACTTTCATTTCTAATGTATGTCGTTTAAATGCTTCCTCACTAATTGCTTGTACTCTGTTTTTCAAACATCGAATTCTTGATTCTGAAGCTTCTTGTAAACGATTTAAATCTCGACGTAAACGAATAATCTAGAAAAAAAGATGGTAGAAAGTTAAGATTTTAGTAGATATTTAATAAAAGTAAGCTTTGGATTATATTGGTCTATTTCCTTTTAATACTGTTTTTTCCTCAATATGATTGATTGGTTAGCTAAATAAGCTAATTAGCAAGTTGACGTAGTAGCCGATGGGGAATGAGAAAGAAATTTTGTAAAAACTTCCTGTACTTTTAAAACATTTTAGCTCATAGATATGTACGTTGGTTAAGAGGTTTCGTTAAGAGTATTTTAGTTTTTATATAGTTTTTATCGTGATTTGGAATCAGTTAAGGAGTCACTAAAAGCCATGAAGTTCTAGAAAACTGTTGTGTCCTAATATGAGTTTCCTCAGTAGTGTGTAGTACTCATGATTCAAACATGTATTTACAATGGGACCAAAGATCCTAACTTAGTTAAATAAACGTTAGGTGCTTGCAGTGATATTTAAAGGTTTAATGTTCCATTTCTACTGGTAAAGTAGTTGGGCGTTGCTGAACGATGGGTACTAGGGTGCTGCATGCTACCCGTAAGATTGTTTATAAATAGTATGTAGTGAAACGTTGCGTGAAAGTCTCTATTGTCAACAGCTGAAGAGAAGAATTCTAGGAGGTCATATAGCACAGAGTATGAAAAGTACTTTAGAGATCAGAGGAGAAGTGAGAGAGGACAGTCCAGAACCAACTTGGATCAAAGAACACAACAGAATGAGAGTGGACGACTGAAGACTAGGTGTAAATATTGCATAAGTATCCTGTAATTTCACTAAGCGCACTTTCCTTCTGCTTAGTACCCACAATAAGAAAACGGTCTCCATGTATTTCTAGTTTTCAAATTTATACCAGGTTATGTCATTTCACGGTGAAAGTACCTGCAGAATATTATTCTGAAAGTCTCTAACTTAAAAACACAAAAAGTAATCTCGGGTTTCTGTTAGTTGATTGTTGACAAACACCAATTAATATTTGATCATAATCAGTGAGGGGTTGTGGAGACTGTTGAATTTCATTGTAATCCTGAACCAATCTAAGTTAGACCACCATTAAAAATCTGAAAGGAGTGGACACCGTTGGATATTGACTGAGTAGTCTATAAGTTAAGAATTTGGGTGCGAGACAGAAAGACCTGGGTCTTATTCTCGTGAGCAAGGTCGTAGATGTGCACTGCTGACGATTCCAAAACTAGGACAAGACAGCCGTCCAGTGCATCCAGGTTTTCAGTAGTGGTGCAACTTAGATTGGTTCATAATTTCACTGATAAATGACTAGTTGTATATGTATATGGTTTAACTTACTTCAGCTATAAGAGCTTGTTCACGGAGAGCAGAAGCACTTGAGCTTTCAGTAATTGGCTCTAGAACTTTTGGTTTCTGATTTGAACGCGCTAATTCATTACGAAGTGAATCACATTCACGTTCTAATATTTCTTTATTTTTTAATAAATCATCTAATTGTTGTTTTAATTGTAACTGTAAAACGGAGAAAAAGAACTTAGAGTGTGCAATTTATCACCTTTATTTTGTCAAAAACATTGAATATTGATGAAGTAGTTTCATGCTATAGTAGATTTAAACTAATTATTAATAACAACTACTACAAGAACTACTACTTGAATAGTGATACGGATTTGTCGGTCGCTCCTATTTATTTATTTAAGCACATAAACATTGGTACAAGGAAGCACCAAATAGATATGCATCACACAAATCACTAGATTTTGTGAGTGATGGGATACTGTTCGGATGCCCAAACTGAAGCAAATGGTTTTCTTGGGAAGCCACTCCTAGAGCCTTTGACCCAGAGGTCTAATCCACAAGGTAGTAGAACAACGTTTGGAGATGTAGTCCCATGGTAGCGGGTGACTAACAATAGGTTCATATGCCATTTGTTCCCTCAAGATCCTGAAACCTACGTGCACCATTGGTTTGGAATCATGGTTCCTCAACTACCCTAGGTGTATGCCCCGTGTCCATCAACCCGGTTAAGGCGCCAGATATTCACTTTTCGTCCTCTCAGTTACGTAAACAACCCCTCCACTGCGAGAAGGCAGTGAGTAGGACTGCTGTGGTAGTGTCTGTATACGCGTGGTCATGTGAGAGTATTTCGTGAGGGAGAGCTGACTCTCCCCACTCTCTGTCGTACCGGGGTATTCGTCGGGCAAGGTTGCTACTAGATAACCCAGATTGCTTTTACACTTAAATCCGAAATTGGAGAAAATCTGCTAAACAAAAATATGAACTTTACTTTAAAGTTGACTAATTTGCAGAAAATAATTATTAATAGATTTATTAGTATCTGTGGTGTAGTCTACTTATATCTATATAAGTAGTATATGGTGTTGGTCAGACATAGAATGTATTTTGGCAGAAGACCGATGAGGAAAGAACTGAAATGAAGCGCAATCGTTTGGAAAATGTATGAGCGATGGAATTAGAGAAGAAACAGTGAAGATTGAAACAATTGGTTGTTAATTTGCAAATTGACTGTTCATTGTTTGGTTATCAGAATTTACCGAGATAGTCAGTAATTTTAGCTTAAACACATTCGGTTGTCCCCAACCAGTTTTCCGTTCACAAAAGTATCCTTACATCATTGGAATCTCCTACAATAGTGTTAAAATTCGTAATAGAATAAATAATCACCTAATCAGAGTATCATAATAAAATCCATCTATTTTCTAGAAGACTTTGTGATGTATGCTGATTAGATCAATTGTTCTTTACATTGACCTATTATCTCAGCACTTTATCAAAGAGTTTTTTGAAGATCTCTGCATCTAAAAAGTAATTTGAGATAAAATTGACTGACGTTTTTACGTAGATAAATCCTTGAAAACACGAAAAAGTGTAAAAACTAGCCTTTTTATTGATATGAAGGAAAAAAAACCATAAGATCATCCGTGCTGTTGAAGAAACACAGTGAACATTAGAAATGTTGTATAGATAACGGGAATGTTTACAGATTGAAACAACCACATGTTCACCGGCAATATGGGACCAGCGAAAAAATGACTGGACGGAGCAGTTTGTACTATGACTTACAAAGGTAGAGAGTGATGCAAAAGCAGTTATTAGCGCACAACCACATGATCGCTCAATGACTTATCGTAAGTCGGATGTAAGTGATGGTCACGTATACTAAGTGAATTGTTTACTTGACTAAGGTGGGTACCCAAAATCTCAGTTAGTCTGATAGCTTTTAGATTTTCAAACTGGTTGAAGATAGAAGTTTACACCATTGGTTGGCGATTCAGTGGTCAAGAGGTTAAGTGTTCACGTGCGGGACTGAAGGACCTGGGTTGCGAAGTAGAGGATATAAACATCTGAGGAGTCACATACCAGTACAAAAATCTGTCCAGTGCTCCTAGGTTTTCAGTGATTGTCTAACTTAAGTCGGTTTGTGGACTCAAGATACGTATGACTTTGAATAACTTCATCCACACTTTGAGAGTATGGCCAAGTACAATACAGAGTTTTCCTCTTATTCCCAATCGGTTTGTAAAACTTGATGAGTGTATAGTAATCAAACCATAAACCATAACATTATGCCATAGGCATACTATTTCGGTTCCGTTTTCAAAGGGTCCTCTGTTATCAAATTTATTGTTACTGTTAAACGTATCAATTAGAAATCAATTCATCGAATATCATAGCCCTTCTGATATAACACCAGTCTCGGAAATCAAGACAATGAGACAAGTATCTGATATGGAGAAAAATGACTTAACCGACTGGAGTTCAAACGACGTATGAAAATGCTCTTTTTCTCTCATCATCTATGACATTTAATAACATAATTACATAATTTGGTCATTTAGTTATTTCTGTTGGTTACAGACACTTAATAGTATGATATTGTAAATATATGTTCACACAGTGATTGATTAATTGATAATAAATACTATTCAGTTCGATTTATATAAACCACATAAAAAGTAGCGTGTTGGTAGACCATTTTGATATATTTTGAAAGTCAAATAAATCCTTTTCACCAGTTAAGCATATGCGTAGACATAACAGTTTTATTCTAACTTATGAGCATGTCTGTTAACTACATTAACTGTATTTAAAGTTGAACGATGAAGTTAATGGACAGTAAGCATCTCATGTTGTCTCTATTCTCACTGATATCAATTTGCAAGAACTATTTTAAATCATGAAATAACATACTTTCAGGAAGTATAATGACAATTCCATCCATAAAAGCTTAAATTAGATTTACCAAGATTCAGTTAACTTTAAACTGCGAATATCCAGTCTTTTTGGTAATCTGAGGGATTTCATATTTATATTGCGTTCTTACTGTTTTATACAAATGATTATTTTGATGAAGATCGATTTTACAGCGTTCATACTTCTCATGTATGATTTGTCTTGTTGAGTGAGTTGAGACGAATAAATAATGATGTCAGCATAACATAGATCTATATGGGATTTATTTTTCTGTGCTTCATTTGGTTCCATGTTTGATGAATGTTGTGTGGGGGAGAGGGAAAAATTGAGTGCTCATTTTCCTAGACAGATAGGCATTTGATGTATGATATGGTAAGCCAATCAAAAGATGAAGACCAGTCAACCGCAATCAGAAGTGACCTAAAGGACAAGGGCATTTCATTGACTAAGAAACAGATTGAATTCTTAAGGATAGAGTGCCTTATATATGAACGTATATTTGTATATTTCATTTGGTAGTCCGATACACTCTTTCGTTCAAGTAGTCAGTCGGGGAGTTAACGCGTAGCATATCGTGTATCAGTACCAGTTATTCGGACATCGCCCATTACAACAATGTATCATGTACGTATTTCCTTACCCTTTTTACTTACTTAAATATAAGTTTTTGATTACTTTCCGATAGATATACTAGTCAGACGAATCATTTGTCAACGCTTTGAGCTGTGTTGAAGCCTTGTAGGACAGTAGTGACTGGGTATCTAGTATGGAGTGAGTGAATCGTGCACTTGAATAGGTTATTCATTATTTGTCATAAGCAATTTAATGTCCCATTGGTGTAAAAAAGAATTATAAGCATTATTTCAGTGAAATAATTTCCCTAATAGTTTATCATTCATAATCCTTCTGAGAATCTATTAAACGTTATCCTACCAATAAATGCCTTATTAGTGAATGCCATCAATCAAGACAGCCTTTAACTTTTAAATATAAACTGTCGTACACTTCATTGTCAAATCATTTAGTTTAATGGGTACAATCGAAACACAGTTAATGGGAAGTGTATTGTATGACTAGAAAAAACGTAATTAGAAGGTATGTATGAAGGAATACTGAAATTCACAATCCATATGAAGTTTAACAGTGAATGAATCTACACAATTGCGATCGACTATGAGTTGATTTTATGAGCAGAGGTTATCAATCTCTCAATGAAGACTATAAATCCTTAATTAGTTACTACAGTAACCCAAATTCGACTAGAACTTTCATATTCATCATTTGTAGATTAATGATATGTGGTAGTGAAAGTAAATATGTTTGGTCACCGAGTGTGGACAAAAAAGGCTCTCAACTTATTGACTATTGTTACTATATGTGAGTTATTTCCCTTTTTATTTCTTTCCACTAAGAACTCATTACAAGTAACTGTTTGTAAGTGTGTACAAAATTGTCTTGTATTATTCCAGTTCTCTATTCTTGATCTTGTATTAATGTATTTGATATAAGATTAATATAGTATAGCGGATCTTCCGAGTATTCGATCTGTCTGTATTATAAACTCAGTCACCTAGAACAGTTTTAGTTCTGTATTATAATAGTAGTATACTATATAGAGGAAACGCAAAATACTCAACATTCACTGGCTGGATACTATCAGCAACAGTGTTTTATGGGGAAGGACAAACCAGCTTCCAGCTCAAGAGGAAATTAGGAAAAGACACCGGAAGTGGATAGGACATACATTAAGGAAATCACCAAACTGCATGACGAGACAATCCCTAACTTGGAATCAGGAAGGGAAGCAGAAAAGAGGAAGGTCAAATAACACATTACGCCAGGAAATAGAAGCAAATATGAAAAGGATGAATAACAACTGGGAAGAACTGGAAAGGATTGCTCAGGACAGAGTTGGATGGAGAATGCTGGTGGGTGGCCTATTCTCCTCCACGAGAGGTATACAGGCGAAAGTAAGTAAGTAAGTAGTAGAAAGGGAAAAAGGAATATTTCAATTCATTCATTAAATCAATCTCACCATTTCACTATCATGTTTATTTCTATAATCATGTTCTAATTGACTTTTCTCTATTCTTAAATTATTCATTGATGTTATTATTTCATTAAATCGTGATTCACTTGATATAACTTTTTGTTTAAATGTTGTTAATTCATTATTTTTATCAATTAATTGTTTTTCTAATTTCATATAATTTGTTTTAAATTCATTTAATTGATTATTTAATTCATTAATTCTTCGTTCTGATTGGTCATGTTGTTCAGTTAATGACCTTGCTTGTGATTGGACAGCACTTAAAGCAGATTTAAGAACCTGAAAAAATTGAAAAGTATTCAAATAAATATTCATAGTCAATTAGTATTATTATTAATATGTACTGTTGGATAATTTATACAGATATATTACAAGAAAATATGACTAATTCAAATGTGAATATCTAGGATCTAAATGTTTTACCCGAAGTTTGTGCTGATGATGTCGTTCAGAAGGACGATGAAAGCCATACGACCAAACCATCCAGCTCAGAGAACAAAACTCTATCATAAACATGAGTATTAGAAAAACTATTTGTAGCATAAGGTTCAATGTTATCATTATACTTGATTTTTGAGCATTATTATTGCTTTACATAGATGAAATCATGAATTGAAGATAGCTAAACCACCAATAAAAACTATGCAGCTCTAGATAGTTATCTTCGAAAAATTTCTTGTGTATTTTGAGACCACCGAGTAAGTAATGACTAAGTAAAGGATGGGGTGCTAGGGAATGATGGTACATCGATTGATAAGGCAATGAATCTTAATCAACTGAGGTTAGGACATGTGATAAGTATGCCCAACTCCCGCTTACTTAGATGGGCTATGTTGTCTGGTGTAGGAGTAAGGTGGAAGAAAGCTAGGGGTAGCCAAACCAAAACATTCCATCAGTCCTTGACGTTATCAACTACGGGATCGAGCCATGTTAGTAGATGTAGACCATCTGGCTGGGGTTTGCATGATTATCGTAACCGGTGGTTAGAGACTTTGAATGACATGGTTCAGCATCGTTTACAATGGCGTAGGTGCATCCAATCTTTGTCTTTCCTCTAATTTTAAGTTTCTGAACTCCTCATAATTTTTCCGTTTTTATTTCACTAATTTATATTTTCTTGAAACGTATATTGGACTGGAACTTGAATCATGCAATTAGAGGTAATACGACTGAGATATTTGTCAGGTAACATACCGCTTGATCTCAAGTGTGATCTGATGATGAATAATAATTTGCAAAGAGATTGTGCTAAATCTACTGAGTTTAGAGTTATGTTAATCAGTAACAACATCTGAACATTTATTTCATAATATATTGTCTAATTTAGTGCCATGACATTTAATACAGTATATTACCGTTATGTTCCATGGAAAATGACAGTTAGGCTGCTTACTTTATTAGACGAGTTTCAGTACTAAAATTATGTGAAGTATGTACATATGAATTTTTCTGATGAAACCAATCTGACCATAAGGAATTAAGACACCTGAATTGTTACTGGTCAAAGCTAATAATTTATCTGTTAAGAACAAAACTGACCTCAATCTGCTCTAATAAACCATTTCTTTCTTTTTCCAGTGACTCCTTCTTTCTATCAAAAGAATCGACTTGTACGGATTTGTCTTCATGAACCAGTACAACAGCAATAGGTGGAATGACTCGTGTTGGCAATAATTCCATTGAGGAACTCCTTGAAATAACAATATTTGGCATTTCAAGATTTAATGAGTCGTATTTGTCTTCTAGTTCTTTGAATTTTTCTTGTAGACATTTCATATCTAGTTCATTTTGTTGTAAGACAGTTTCTAATTCCACAATTCGACCACGAAGTGAATTCTAAAAAAAATGTTCATTACTAACCGAACCATTGGAAAAACTATTCAACAGTTTAGTTTCATAATTCTTATAGTTAACGTCATAAATTATTCCTAGATAGATAATTACTGAAAATCATGGGACACTAGGCATCTGTTTAACTTTAGTACAGGACCATCAGCAGTGGGAATCCACGACTAGATCGAGGACTGAATAGGGAACATAGAGACACGTGTTGAGTGCTTTCAGCTCATAAAGTATGAGAAGTTAGAAGCTGCATTCATCAAAACTGAACAATATTTTAGTAAGAAATACACGTATTATGTGAATAGAACTTACACGGTTAATACTTCGTATCGCTGTAGTGAGTGGTATACAAATAAAACGACAAAATAATTTAGTTCTTCCCATAAATTTCTAAACTAAGGTTATGAAAACGTCATTTCCCAAAGCATGAATTAGAATAATCCCATTCTTCTTCAAAATACTCCCTAATTTTAGTCTTATCGTCATTCTAGCTCTATTCCCACAATTCGAAAGAATTTCTCGTAAATATGAACTTTCTGTTATCTTGCTGTTTCGTGTATTATAAACAGTTTTCTCAACCATTAAGATATACGCTAGAATTTTGTGCACAGAAAACATTAAGAAATCCAGTATGTGAGTGATGAAACGTATAATGATTAAGTAGCCCGAAAACATAAGAGATGTAATACATAGTGTTTTCATCAACAAAATTAGTTGAGAATCATCTTGACATTGGATCATCCTTGGATTCTTCACTATCCTCACCAAAACACTTGATCTAATATCAAAGAGATGTTTCTTTGAGTGTCTTATATTCATCAACGGTTATCAATTTCTCTTAAATGTCTTGATAGTTTTTCCAGGTTTCATTAAAACTTTAATTCTGAGTTTTTGTATATTTATTCAAGAGTTACTCTTGTCTATAACTCCGATGAGTATAAAAGAAATGAAAATTAAATGCTCCGATTTTGATCCATGAAGGGTTCATGAATAGACAGGAGAGTCCTCTGCTAGGACAAAGTAGCTATATAATGCTTTCTAGTTTTTCATGGTAGTTTAACTAGGATTCAATATGTAATAAACTTCAACGATCACAACAAACTCCGTTTATGAATTTCTCGTATACACTGATCTACAACATAGCTGTCAGTTATTTAATAAGTCGTTATTGAATGCAATATTTTCTTTTTTTTTCTTGTTACAAGGATTACTTGTTTCATTCTGTTCAACATACCACAAAGTATATAAGATCACATCAACTACTGTTTAATGATAAGAATTAAACAAATATTACATAACATGATGTTAGAAACCTTGTAATTAAATACAGAGGGCCACAAATTACTAGTTTACTGTTAGTCACCATTCTTTTATATCTGTTTATTTTCAATATCTGCTACCGATAGGATAAAAACTATCTGAGGTAATTGAAAAAAACAACTAAATAATCTAACAGTATTTATCATCGTAGATTGATCATATGAACAGACGAATCATTTATTATCAACGTATACAATTTAAAACATCTGTACAATCAGGTGTTTTGTGGAGATTTTAGTGATTTTATAGTTAAATTCATGAATTAATTGAAGCTATACCACAATGGAAAACATGTAAGCACTGGACGGCTGTTTCGTCCTATCGTAGTGCGATGCGCATTCACGATCCCGCTTCGCGAGATTCGCAAACACGATCTATCAGTCTCACGGATGCGAACTGCTGAGGAGTCCCACGATAGGAAGAAACGGCCAGCGTACCCAGGTTTTCCGTTGTGGTCCAGCTTCAATTGACTAATGGATTCAACTACTCTGCAATCCTCATAAATGGTTCTACAGTATGAGAAATTCATGATTTTCAAGTTTCCTTGAAACTATCATACATTCATTATAAACAAAGATATATAGTGGTTAGCAGTGGAATCCAGGATGCGCGTTTCGTCCTATTTGGGACTCGTCAGCTGGATGTATCTGCATCTCAGAGTTGATGTTCACTCTGGGACTCGAACCCAGTACCATCCGCTTCGAACGCCATTGCGTTATCTACTCAGCTACTGAGTCCTGATAGCCACTTGCTTGTGCAATGAGGTGAAGTTTAAATTCGCTTCGTAATGTTTGTTTGAATCTTCCCATTGATGTTTAGTAGTGCAATTGATCAGTCTCTTCTTGGCATATGTGCATACTGTGCGTATTTCCTCGATATAGCCTTATTTAACAAGCCTTATAAGTAAAGATGGATAGTGGCTAACAGTGGAATCCAGGACGCACTCTTCGTAATATTCGAGATGCATGTACATTCAGCTGACGAGTTCCAAATAGGACGAAACGCGCGTCCTGGATCCCACTGCTAGCCACTATCCATCTTTGCTCATAATGCTTGTGAATTAGGGCATTAACATATTAGGGTATGAACATATACCAATAAGGGACTGATCAATTACAGTCCTAAACATCAACAGGAAGATTCAAACAAACAATACCAAGTGAGTATTATACATTCGTTAAGTAAATTAGCAAATTAAATAACTAACTTCAATTGCTGTTCTATCATATCGTTTAGCAGTATTCATTAATCCATTTAAAATAGCAATTGTATTAGCTAATTGTGTTCGACATGTACCACGTATTTGTTCAATAGATTTATTATATGATTTAGATAAATTATATAAACGTGATTGTATCATTTTATAAATATTTAAACTAATCTCATCAATGATTAATTTCATTTGATAATTTGATCCATTTTTTATTTGATTTATTTGCTTTGGGTACTCATTAATTATAAGTAGTATATTGTTTAATTTATGTTTTAATTCATTTAAATCAAGTATTTCAGTAGTTTCTGTCTATAATTATAAAAGAGAAAAGAGGATTAGAACAATAGAGTTGTGAATATTAACTATGATATAAATAGGTAATATGTAGAAAGAAAGTGTTCGTTAGGTAACCATTGAAAACAAGGAAGTACAAGACGGAAGTTATATTTTAGTGTAGGACCTTAGGGTTTCATAATAACCATTTAACTTTAAACCTATTGAGACAGTTTTCATGTCTGGTGTTATGTCTTGAAGATTTAATGATAAATATATCACATGCCTAGTCATCAATCAGAGCCTTAATTCTAATTTGATCTGATAGTTACTATGTGGCCTCATTTCTCTGATGTGGTCATACGATTGGGATAACAAGAAAGGATTCACCAATCTCCATTGCAAAGAGAAAATCAAATGATACAGAAGGCGAGTCCAAAATGTAAAGAACATTTAGAAACAGAAGTAGTCTATGAAAGTTAGTTGAATCTCATGATTTTCTTTTAGGAATTCTGTCAACTGAAGAACCATTCAAAACAGGAATGGCATTGAAAAGCCATTTTAACCTAGTTTACTAACTCCACAATGATGCTCACCAAATACTGCGAAAGGCACCAGACAAGACTTTTAGTAACACTTAGACTACACGAAATCAACGATTGTAAAAAATACATAATCGTTGAAGTTCTAACGAAGCAGATATTGAGAAAGTTGTAATTTTTGGAACTACTCTGCAGATTATCATACTGAATATTTTTATCGTACAATTATAAAATGACTGGATTATTATACTTCTATACTACGTGTATCGTAAGTTTTTGTTGCATTCATTAACCGTAGCTAAACGCTTTACTATTCCTTAACTCTTATTAATAAACTATTCGTCCTTTGTTCCATTCTCCTCTATCACTTAAGGCTCAAAAGTGTAAAAAATAATTTCTTATTTAGCGTTTACTATGATCTGTTAACTCATGCTTGAGTACTTGAGTTGTAATGAAATGCGGCATCGTAGACAAGATATGTATTTGCTAACTTCGCTCTCTGATTGGACACTGCGTTAGGAAAAGCGTTTGGACAATTATGTGTTAAGGTCTCGGATGTTGTTTATTGGTCACTTTGTCGTTTGTATGGTAGGTTATTGTGCCTACAAGCGAAACAGAGCAGGTTAACCAATAAACGGCCGCAACAATAATCACGTGCCTTTATTATAAGTAACTCTATCACACAAATACAAAACAAGAGAAGAAATTCATTTTCTTGAAAATTACACTAAACTTTTATCAGAAAGGGAGTTTTGTGGAGAATGGATTCATGAGTTCATTAAAGCTAGATTCCGCGAGCAGGATCGTGGATGCGCACTACTGAGGAGTCCAATACCTGGACGAAACGGCTCTCTAGTGCTTCTAAATTTTCCATAGTGTTCTAGCCTTAATCGACTCATGAATTATTAAACCATTTTTGTTTACTTGAAATTTCACAAAACCATTAATACAAACTACATTCACTAAGAGTAATCTAATTTTACCTGTGAATAATCATCCACACAAAGTTTCATACCATTGTAATATTTACTGATTGTCAAATTATATAATTCATTTGGAATAAAATTCGGCTCATTTGGTACAGGTAATTCGGGAGGTTTCGGTAAAATGTCAGCTAACATCTGATAATCAATGCATAATGGATCTTGATTTTTATTGGCTAATAGTGATTGTTTTAACGTATGTGGTATATTGTTAGTAGGAGCCATATCAGTTTTGTTTTCATGCCTCTGTACACAGATAAAAGAATCGTAAGGTAACAACTTGGGTATGGATAGATTTGTTCAACTGTAGAATATAGCCAATATAAAATAAATTTTTGTAACAAAAACATGAAAATGGGTAATTTTTTTAAAATCAGTCTTTAACTCCGTTTTGGTAGAGGATATCGAGTCCAGAATCGCATCACCGTCTATCAAAAACCGTGTAAACAAAGAAATCACAAACGACCGGGTATTAAATTGCTTCAGTTCAGAAAATATCAATTGGAAATTACTTATATACGTTGACAATTGTTACGTTAGGAGTAATCATCACAACTCACAATCCTTGTAGATGATGCAATTTGAAATGATGTAAATCCATTGTAGGCTTCACTAGGAGCTTAGAAATGAATCACGCCTGTTATTATTAAATTAAATATTCGATCAAATAACAGAGGGCTAGTCAAGGTCACGAAGTAACCAATAATCTATCGCTTCTGTGTATCATATCAGAAATAAATGTTGTGTTTCTTCAAAACAGAAATGGTAAACAAAAAATTTCTACAGTAATGACTCCAGACTCAATCTGTAATTTTCAATGTTGGAATCCAGTAATCAACATTGAAAATGAGAATTATGGTAGACTGTAAACAAGCATCAATAGTTGGATGAATTTACTCGAAATATACCATTGCTCACAATTTGAATATAGAGGAATTTGTGTCATTTATATCATTATTTAACCTATAAATTGAAATCTGCATCGTGAATAGGTACAATGTCAAGGTTAGACTTGATAGTTTCGAATACATTCAGAATTGGATAGAAAGTTCATAATAAATATATTTTTCGTTATATCCTTATAAGCAGAAAATTGTATATCTGAAGTTTCGCGATTTAAAGTAAGCCACTTCTTCATAGTAAATAAATAACCGAGATAAATTAACACAAGTTTAAATAATACTCTTTGAACTTGTGGCTTACACCAAGTTACAAACTGTCAGAAATACAATTTTTCTACTCATTGGGATATAACAAAAAATTTATTTATTATGATATTGTGAATGTTTATGGGTCTGGGATCTGACTGTTTATAATCAAGTGATATTGGTTTTAATGAAATATACATCCTATTGATTTCATATGTATTCTGTAGATGTATCTTGTTAATCGCAACTTAGATATGAGAAGACGAATATACAAGTATTTGAGGAACATATATTTCAGACATTTGATAATGTTGACGAACGATAAGAGGTGAGATGAAGTGCATGTGAACTGAAGTGGAAGAAATGGTTAACTTTGTATGAAAAAGAAACAAGTACGTGTACAGACACATAAGCACTAGCATACACAATTGTATAAATCACTAACCAAGGTTACATGTGAGTAATTGGTATGGTCAAACATATAGATGTTAGGACAAGTAGAAAGATTAGAATAGTTTATCTGCCCAAAGGTTAAAACAAATCACGTGGGCATGTGAGGAAATTTTGTGGTAAAAGATTTTTTTCTCACCAACGAATTTACTTTAAATGCAAATCCCCATATAAACTGTATCCATTCATCACTGAAAATTATGTGAAAGCCTGTCATGGTGTCTAAGGGTATCACACTGGTAGTTTCATACAGTTTTAGCTAAATAACTTACTTTATTGTACAGCTTCCTACTGGAAAACGTATACTGAAGCTGATTAGGCTTTATTACTTGGCAAGTGGCAACAATTACTCATTCTACAAATGTCTAGATGCTTATTTTAATAAGATGACATAATATTTTTCGTTATTTTGTAATGTCCTGGATGGTTACCTAGTAAAATGCATAAATATGATTTGGTTTATCAATCACTAGTCAACTCGAATACATTGAGTTTCTAAAAATTCTCTGATAATTTCTCACTATTTCCAAGCTAACATCTTCCATGCTATTGGTTTTTATCTATATGAACAATTCACTGAGTCAACAAACGTGTTTTATGACGGAAGATGAAATCGAAAAGTTCTTGACTAAAATTTAACACCATTCAAGATATTATAAAACAATAGTTATTTTGAATAGTAGTCAAATAATAAAATACAGGATGTAACTCCAGTCTTATTGAGGACTCATTAGTCATATGTGGTTGCATTCATGTTATTCCTATTCTGAATGAGACTAAAACCCAAAACCTGTAGCTATGAACAACAGCGTTTATCTTTAAGCTGATGGGTAATTAACTTGTTCGGCAATTATGATACTTATTATTAATTATAAATTACAAGTTGACTACAAAGAAACGCAAAGAATATTAAAGCATCAGTTGAAATAAACTCAAAACTCAACAGAAGCTAATCAACATAATACTCGATTTGAGTACAATAGTATTGGATTTCTTATTAAAAAAAGTGTATACATATTGAACGGTACTTGTTGTGAATATATGACTAAGCACTAAAACATGTGACTTTGAATCACACAATCCGTGGTTCTGATTGGACTTCGGGTGACAGGTTGTATCATCACTCCATGAATACACCACAGAAAATACGACTAACTAAAAATGTTGCTCGATCGATGGGGTTATGCATAGTGATTTTTTACGCATATAGGAGTACGACGGCCGCTCATTGGGTGACGGATGTGTATCCACTCAACTCACTTCAGTTTAATTAATATGATTAGACCTTAAACAAAAGAAGTAATTCAGCCTCAAGCAGTGAAAAAGTGACAAATGCAAATCTATTAACATCGCAACACCAAATCATAGCGAGTTAAAATTAACGAAGTGACTTGAGAAAAATCAAAATAATTGTAGTGTCAATTACTGTGAAAAAAAACCAAACAAAGAATACGATTCGAAAATAAAATGTGAAATAGTATTGAAGTGTTAAATTTGGAAAGGTAACTTTGATAATGTCATCAACGTTTAATCACGTCAGTCTGCACCAACTAATAGCCAAAAACTTCATGAACTGATATCGTGTTGGTTTCGTTGCACTTGATCTTTATACTATCTACCCCTTGTGCTTGACTGAATTGTGTGAGCGCATGGCTTGCCATGTACTCCGAAGTTTATAACCTATGAATTAACTTATTAAGTATTTGGATAATAATACAATATAGGTTACTTTAACCGAAGATGTGGCATGGTTCAAACCCAAGACTTAGTGGCGGAAAGTCTAACATCCTAGCGATTAGCAATACTTTAAAGACATTTGAACGCCGAATATGGTGCAGAATTGAATGAGCAAACCAGCATTTGGTCGCCCGGTTACAACATTATACATAATTCACAATAAACTTCATCACTAGAATACAAACTAAAAGTCGGATGAAAATTTAAAAACAGCTTTTAAATACCAATAACCCTACTGCATTATCGGTAAATGTATGCCTCAGTGACGGCCGTGAAAGATTTCAAGACTGACCTAAGGCATAACCAATCGGAATACAGCTTTTATCAAAAAGCTCTATATCGAGAAAAACATGATCCAGAGTTTAAAGATGATTAATGAACTTATTACGCGGTGATTATCTGTATATTTGGTTATAAATTCTGGTATCCTTAACGCTTTAAAATTCTAATATGAATAACTCAATTCTAACGCCTATCTTCTAAGCTTGATAATTCGTTACACAAAAAAATCCATCATCTAATCCATTAAAAATCCGAAATCTAATCAAAAACATGATATCCAACAATAAACTAATCATAATGGCGTTTTCAATTTGCATTTACTATTTTTAATCAGTTTTTTGGTTATTTTGATGGTTCGTTGAAAATCATCAATAAAGTATATTTTTACCGGATTACTTTAGTAAACGTAAACAATAAAATTACCTGCTACCAGGAAGCACCCATTAAAGATAAACAAACAGAAATGTACATATACACAAATGTTTGAGTGTGTGTGTTTGTCAGTTAGCACAAAAACTACAATTCATGTATATATATATGATTTAAAAGTGAAAAACTGATCATCTAATAATCCACAAAAATAAATCTACCTCATTAATTTTTGTAAGAACAAAAAACGGAACACCGAAAAAAAGGAACGATATTTTCAACGGTACTTTCTTTTATTCACTTGTAATTTCACATAAATAAATGAAAAAAATATATATATGTGACCTATCGTCATCCGTTGTAGATTGTGCAGTGAAATGTTGTAATACAAAGACTAACCAAATAAAAACAAAAGTTAATTAGTAAAAGATTTGCCAACAATAGTGTATATATATATAACTTAATTAGATATGTGGGAGCATAGATTCTCCAAAGATGTAGACCATTATCGCTTCAAAATTTCAATCCTTTAATTACTTGTTCCTCATTTCCTTCGGCCACTTTATTGATAATATTATTTTATGAATGTTATTGAGAATGTGAATGACAAAATTCTAATAGTTTATCACATAATTGAGATGAACGATGACATAATTTAGCTTTGTTTAAAACTTTAATCACCAAATCTGAAGCGAATTGATTGATTCTTAGGAGGACACGTGATACACTGGCACGTATTTTTGAATTAGGATCATCTAAATGAATAATGAGATTATTTAAGAAATCTTCTATAACAGCAGTATAAACTGGATTTAATTGCTGAGATGTTTTAATGGTTGTTGATGATGATGATGATGTTAACATTGGAATAAGTAAACGAATCCATGAATTGATTGTTTCACAGATAAGTAATCGAATCTAGTTATAAATCCGGAAAGAAAGAAAAAACGGAACAAACTATACGTTAGTACTGCTTGATACTTGTGATATTTGTCGCTTAAATGCCAGATAATGTTTGTGTGTTAAATTGTACTACTTATTAAAATTCAGTAATTAATTTCAAACTCGATCAAGTTTACGACATGATGACCAACATATTTCGGTTGCCGTGCGTTATCATTAAGGAATATTTTCCATGTATCTGTAACATTCTTTTTATTTATTATAGAAAAGTGATCATTTCTCAATATGTAATACATTCCCTGAATATGTTTTAGGGTGTAACAACTTGGAAGTTTTGTGTTTTCAGTGACAGTTGCGATTATTGACATCTACTGTAAATTTAGACACAGCTGATATATGAATCGTGATATATTTGTAAATAATCTTTATACCTATATTCCAGGAAGACTCACTCTTTCGGTTACATACATTGCAGCGTACAAAATCTACAGATATGTCAAGAACTAAAGTTTGTAAATATTTTACATCTATTTTGAAATGATACTACCGATTTACAGATTTGAATTTCGGAATTTCGCGCATAATTCAGTCATTTCGTTGGACTCTCCAACATATTTAACATTAAATCAGATTTCGAGTGGATAAATCAGACTATTTTAAAACAACTTTCTAAAATACCTAAGATCAGATATCCGTACGAGTGAAAAAGCAATTCTCTTTATTAATTAAAGTGCTTATCAGACAATAAGTTCAAGACTCGAATACCACACTACCAAATTCAATTTTAAAAAGTAGGTAGTAACAATAGCTCTCACATTTAGAGAGTGGCTTGAAACGAAGTACATGAAGTTGTAGCTAGTAAATAGGTATAACCATTCAGCATAGTTATAATTACTCTAGCGTGACGGATCCGTTACACTACATGAACGAGTCAATGTATTGGGTCAAAGAGTGAGCTGTGATACTAGCCAATCATGGACATAACAAAATCTATCCGATTCCCCATAAGTATAACATCATGAAAACAAATAAGAGGAAAGAAGCAAGTTGTAAAGAGGAAATCATAACATAAGCCATGATGATAGTGCAAAACTAAACATAAGAAATATAGTTCACAGAGAACGAATGAATTTGATGACATGACACTAGGATCAAGGAATAAATATTTTCAGTGACGGTCTAATATTGATCGATTCATGATTTCAATCAAAAACTCAATAATATCTACAACCCCATACTGATATATATATATATATATATATATATATATATATATATAATTGCTGTTGACAGCAACAAGGTATAACTACATAAATATCTATGAAATTGTGTTGTGAGGTGTCCGATTTCAATGTTGAAAAACAAGTTTTTCATTCGCGAGCTCAAGCAGCTACTTTGGTCAAAAGAATGAGAATGAGAGAGGAGAGCTTAGAATAGATGATGTGAACGTATTCAGTTGCTTAAGCAAACTTCAAACCCAAGATACAAGGAGAAAATTTATCCAGGAAATAACAGAAATAATTTTTCATTATTAATTTGACAGTAACACTCCTTAAACCAAAAACTAAACTATAACATTCAGCTCGCTAGTGACCTACCTCAAGATGTTAATGAAGTTCTAGTGAAAATTCGTGACAAATGGAGTTCAGAAAAGGTACCTATGGTAGTGTGTGATCGTTGAGCTAAATCGCAAGCTGGCTAAATTTGACATTGCGTCACTGGATTTTATAATCCACAAGATCTAAAATTCATGTTTCGACCCCAAGTTCGACATTGCGTGTGCACTATTGAAGAGTCCCACACTAAGATGAAACAGCAGTTCAGTGCTCCATACCCCGAATGAGACTAGTCTATGATGAATAGAATTCCGAGTACTGTATACATAAGATTAAGTCGAGGAGCGCTGATTAGTGCATTACACAACTGGTTAGCGCCTACAAATGGACTTAAGTTATCGAATTTCTATGTTTATCCCATAGGAACTCAGAAATATTTTACCACAGTATCTTTTGCCGCTCGGGTTTCAGCACATATATTTTTATAGTTGAAATCGTGAGTCAATTGAAGCTAGACCACTATGGAAAACCCGGAAGCACTGGACGGCCGTTTAGTCCCATTGTCGGACTCCTCAGAAGTGCACACCCATAATCCCGCCTCGCGTGCAAGCGTTTAAACACTAGCCCACTGAGCCGGCATTCAACGGTGTTAATGTCTAACTTCAACAAATCCATGAAATTGAGCAACCGTCCACTATTGTCTTCAGTGAGTTGATATCTCACAACATATATTTTTGTTTCCTTTCTATTCTTATTTTAAATTGGGACCAACCCAGTAAAATATTGTGTCCACAAGTTATTAAACGGTAGAATTATAGTAAAGATTGATTTATAATATAAATACACTAATGGAATTGTAAAAGCAGAATATGAAAACGGTATTAGCAATAAGTAGAACAAAGTTGAAATGAACCATTTACGCAACCGTATGACTAATTATTTTTCTTCTTTTAGTATATGGAACTATTCATCTGATTAAATTGATATTTAACTACGAAGTAAATCTTATTATTGTCAATGCACTAATTATTAATAATTAATAATAATAATAATAATCAAAGAGGTCAGTAACAGTGAAGTAGAACTTACCTGATCTTTCGAATCATTTAGACGCTTAATAAAATTACCACAGAAACGATAGACTTGATCACCAAATGAATTGGCCAGTGGACAATAAGGCAATAATACATTATATTCTTTGGTCGATTCATGATTACTATTAATAGTACTGCTAGCAGTATTAGTAATAGTAGTAGTAAGCGGTTGAATCCATGTAGGTGAATTGAGAAAATCTATCACTCGATTACCTTCATAGTGATTTTGATTACTGTTAGATAACTCCATCGGTGATGAAGATGTCGGTGATATTGATGGTGAAGGTATAAGAAGACCATTAAAGAATACTGTCAAACAAAGACAAGCTAAACGTCTAGTCCCTTCCAAATCATCATCTAATAATGAGCCTAAACGTGCCAACATCAAAGATAACAAGGAGCCAGATAAACTTGGTAGATTACTATATTTTGGAAAGGATTGTATCCCATTGTTATCTGTAAATAATTAAATAAATAGAATCGTGAGAAAGAATACGTGAAGTGATTACAACCCATGAATTAAAGAGAAATTACACCACGGGCTGACAATATCGGTTGAGGGAACTGAATATTATCACACACAAAATCTAACAAATAATTTACAGGTAGAGTAGCGAGCACGACATCTTCATACAAGTTGGAAGTAAAGATCTAAGCAAGTAACACAGATCAATCAGTCAAAGAGGTTATAAAGTTGTATCTGTCGAAGAAGGTAGATTTTTGAAAGGTGTTTATGAAGGCCACTGCTTATCTCAAGGTGCCATGTCGGTAATAGCAGGGCTACATTGGGAGAATTTAATCACTATTGTGAGCAACTCTAACTGAAATCGATGGTATGTGATATTATCTATTGAACTGGTACCTCACATTTATTTATTTAAACACATAAACATTGGTACAAGGGGGCACCAAATACACATGCGCCACACAAATCAAATGATTTATGTGAGGGCTAGGATACTGACCGGGCTCCAAAAAAACCGAAAGTGGTTTTCTTAGGGGGCCACACCTGGAGTCTTTCACCTAGAGGTTTAATCTACAAGGCAGTGGAGCAACTTTAGGAGATGCAGTCCCATGGTAGCCATTGACCAACAATTGGTTCATACGCCATTTTTCCATCAGGATCCTGGGGCCCATATGCATTATTAGTTTGGAATCAGGGTTTCCCAACTTCCCTAGGTGGATTCTCTATATCAACCAACCTGGTTAAAGCGCCGGACATTCGCCTTCAGTCCCCTCTGTTTCGTAAAAAATACCCACCCCCGCGAAAAGACAATTAAGTAAACAGGTTTAATATACAAATAGTCTCATTCTATTCTTTGAAAATATTTGTATGTTACATTATTTATACGGTCATTAGAAATATTCAGCCGTCACGTCTAGTAATAAAATATTAAACACTGATTTTAAAAAAACAAGTCAATTTTCACCATAGTATACAGTTCCTATGTAAATGTCTTAAGGATTTTAATCCCTTTTCAATTCACAAATGAAACATCCACTACTAAACATGCATCATTCAATCATTTACGGCTGTCAAACATGATCTAGAAAAGTAGAAAACATCTGTAAGCTATGAGTAATTTGATAATCAGTATTTTAAATCAATAGACCGTGTATGTTGAGAACGTCGAGTGACCAAAGCTTAAGTCAGACTCAGAGTACTAAACAAAGATGGTAAATAGGTTGATAAGAATGAATACTTGTCTCATACTAAGATGAATCAGCTGTCCAGTGTTTCTTGGTTTTCAATGGTAAAGTAAAATCTGACACATATGTGCACTGGTCCAAGTAGTTGCACTACACAGCTAGATAAAATTATCGGGACAAATTGTAAAGTGTTGGGGATGGTAACAAGATCAGTAGTAGCAGGAAAGATTACGCATAGAAAGTAGCAAATAAAAGTGCAGATTTCGGGGCTCAGATTCTAAAGGAAGATGAATGATGAATGCATCTAGGGACGGTTTTCAGATATATCACTCAATCTTTAACCATTGGTTACGATAATTACGTGGAACCTAACCATATATAGTATAATTGTTAAGTGACTAAACTGTGTATATTCATATTCCACTTATTATAAGCTTTATTTTGACCTATAGACTATTATTATACGATTGACCGTTCTTAAGTTATGCCCAGTCCATTAATTACAGTCTTCCACATTATTAGCCATTTTTGGCTAGATCTTGTATAGATGTTTTCTATTTTATAGTGTGATGTGGTCTGTTTGGTTTGTATATAAACCCAGTATATTTGAAATACATGATTCATATCGCAGGGGCTGAGATTGGTATTCTAGATTCAACAGGTAGGGCTAGGCAGGAAGAAGGACCGATAAGGACTCCAGACTGCTCGTACGGGTTAATGAGTCATTAGTTCGGTCGATGTCACTGTCCTATCATTGGCATTATCATTACGTTATATATTGATAGGGCACAAGGCTACAACTTATAACAGTTAGTCTCTACCTACTTATATAGCTCAATCGAATTGTCAGTTATTTCATGGAGTTGTGTCGTCTTGGTCTTAGTCGTCCCTATAGCTTTCTTCCAGTCTACTCCTACACCAAACAACACCGCCCGTTGAGGCAGGCGGCAGTTGGGTATAAGTTGACGGAGTTTCACTATCTTACCAACGGATTTGCATTCTGTACCTAGTACCTTATACCTAAACTCAGCACTGCCCACTCAGTGGTCTCAAAACACACAAGCAATGCTTCGAAGATACCTATCAGTGAATACTAGTAACCTACAAATATCCTCTATTGGTAATGGGCATGGTTCATACCCATGAAGCAGAATGGAGAGAACTGCGGCGCAGTAAACTCATCCTTTGGTTGGTGGACTGGAAAATTAAACAAATTCCATGTACCTATTATGTTAGTGTACAAAGGATAATTAACTTACCATTATTATTATCACAAACTTCCTTTTTATTTGTTAACTCTTGCATAATCTCATGCATAGACTCAATGTTATTAGTTAAAAGCCAATTATCTATGTTGATTTCACTGTTAGTTCGTAAATTTAAAACAATTTCAGATAAATGATGCATTGATACAGCACTAGCTAATAATGCAAAATAACTTGTAATAGCTGCTTTCCGCATGGCTTCTGATGTACGACCAGCTCTCCATACACATACAGGTAAAATTAATTTAGGAAAACAATAATTCAAATATTTTGGAGATGATAATACTTTCTGAAAAATTAAAATGCAAAAATAATAAAAAGGTTCAGAATTGATTCAAGTGTCAGATATGTGACAATGTCATTTAAAAGAATAGACTGGAAAACAATACAGCTCCATCGAAAAAATTAACCACTCAAATTATTAACAAATTTACATAGGTACATACATGATGTAATAATGTTTGACTATGATTGGCAGCACTCTAGTTTTAAGAGTCAGTAATTAAACCCGGTCACCTGAAACAAAGTAGTTGGTGAGGGGTTCAAATTTGCGAACCAGTGGTCATGACACATTAAACAGTGAGTCACCGTCCCACAAGATTGTTAAATAAAACGTATGCAACAATTACATCAATCTTTAAATAACTACTACCATGTAAGGAAATCCAATATTGAATAATTTAAAAATTCAAATGATGTTATTCACCGATCAAATAGTCAACGGATATGAAGGGTTTATAACTCCCAGCATTTATTATTCAGAGCTGTAAATCGTCAGTCTCTATTGGCATAAATTCATCTTGAGATGGACTTCCTCGATGTCAATCAGTATTTACCATAAACAATGCATAATAATAATAATAATCATATGAACTTACTCTAATCTGACTATTATCTGTCAGTTTTGTAAGCAACATTAAACCACGTAGACGAAGCTCAGCCTCACTAGCTAATGTTAGTGGATCTGTACCGCCTGGTGATTTATCAAACTGACTATTATTATTACTACCATTGTCGACACCACCGCCACAGCCACCGGGTGTACGATTTAATCGACAACCACGTTCTAAAAGATCCAGCACAGCTGTTAAACATTCTTTTTTAGTTTGACTACTATTATCATGATCATTAAATGTGAATAATAATGCAGGTCCAGTAGCTATTTGTAAACAACGTGAAAGTATCGCTAATCCGATTGAACGTGGATTCCATGAAATAGATTTTTTCAAATCTTCATTTAATCTAAAAATTAACTAATTCAGTAACAAGAGGAAAAAAACAAAAAATTAGACAAATTATGTAACTGAAAATGAAAGTGTGAATTCAACAAGGGACTGGTGATATTTACATTACGTAATCGGATTATGTTACTTATAAGTAACCATTATTTTATTGCATATATTTTCCTACAACACATTCATTTACCAGATAAAAATTAGAGTATTTCGGTTTCGGCCATATTCCTAATAAAAGAGCTAGTAATACTATGCAGTTGCACAAATCCATGTATTTGGAATAGGATTCGGAGCTCTGAGTTAGTGAACCGAATTCTTACACAATTGGTGAGCCATCGCTTCATATACATATATATATATAAATCGATCAAGTTTTAATGACACGCAAAAAACAAACTAACCTTAGGCATACAGTTGAAAAATAGTTGATCCATATCACTAGCTGGTACTGAATTTACTTCAAAGTCCTTCTCCTTGGAGAGACGATATTGTCTGGATAAATTTATACAGTCTCGATGACAGACTGCTAACCTTTGCATGAGTTTATCACATGAACTAAGAACTGTACGACCGAAATCTGATGAGACCAAGTCGTTTTCTGGCCAAATTGCACCCGTCCCGAGAAGTATTTCAAACAAACATGAACGGATCTAAAGTTAAAGTGGGAAAGACTCTTAGGATAATACATTTGGGGCAACATGTAACAGAAACGACAGACACTGAACGAAAACGTTTCCTTTGGACGACTAGACACAAATTAAGTTTTTATCAATGCGTATGAAACTGTCGATTATCCAGTGTTTGAAGTGATTCAGCTCTTAACTAACAAGGTCACAGTTTCGAACTCTATTCAACTTTATTCCGTTCCCACAACTGGACAGTGGTATTATTAACCGTTAACACGAAGACGGTGGTTTAGAGTGACGTGTCTGTGTACGTTGGTAGCTACTGTATAACAGCTTTTTCCATTTGCAATTTCAAATAATATAATCTGAATTCAAAACAGGCTGACAGATTTCTACCTACTTTAACAACGATGATCGAACACAGAGCCACTGGACATCCTGGGACAAGTTTTACGAGCATACAGCAGAACTGCTCTTACTAACGAATTGTAAACACAGTCTTTAAAAGTCAGACGAACAGCACTACGGTATCAAAGATAACTCGGATTGGCATAAGTTGCTCTTTATGCTACTAGTTGGAGAAATATGCAGTTACTTGGTATATGTAATAAATGGCTCAATCAATCAACTTGAGAAGGTAACGTAAGCAACGTAGCTTAACAGTTTCGTAAAGACACACGTGCCTGGTTGTTAACTGTATCTCTTTTATAGCGGTCGGTAGTACTGTTCGATTGTTCAGATTAATATGTGATCGGATTGGGGTTTGATGGAACTGGCATAACACATAGTTTGCCGAGATCCACATACGAGTGATACTTTAAAGGCTCTATATTTGGAAAAAAATTGCCAGGATATTACCGTTTCGCAAACATTTATATAATGTACAACTTCATGCATAATGTAGTGAAAATTTTTATCTACTTACTTACCTGGTCATCTTGAATTACTAATTTTGCTGCATTATAGGTAGCTTGGATAATATTTTTATGACTATCATCATTTAACTGTAAGGTTTCCAAAGTATCCACTTGTTGTTCTGGTTCTTGTTTTAATAAAACAATCGCCTCTTCAAGATGTTTAATACACACTTGAACACATTCTAATAGACCTGCCTTAGCATTCATTGATATGACAGAGATTAATTCATTTTGACTAAGATAAGCGATAATCTTATGTAATGTACTATTATTGATTGGTGTATAGGTCTCCTTGACGTGACCACTTTTCATTTGACAATCATTATTTTCATCAATTTTATCATCATGAATACTATGATTATTATCAGAAGTATTAGCAGTACTGGTAGTATTAGTGAAAGTATCAGTCGCATTAGTAGAAAACCTATTCAATGATGAGTCACGCTTTGACCCTTTCATTTCGTCGGTTATTATTAATTGGTTTAATGGACTACCATGAAGCAAACCAGATAAAAGGAGTAAATGGCCAGCTAATGATGATGGTGCAGCAGATTCTGTACAACGATCAAGACATGGTTCCAGTAAATGCCACCAAAACTATGCAAGAAACAAAAAGATAAGTAGACAATTGTGAAAAATAGGATATGTATAACTGAATAACCGTTGGTTCTTAAGTTACTTTGGTTATATACAAACATAAATCGAAGCTGGTGATGCATTAGTAACCGACTTTTTTTAAAGTCAATAAGTAAAAGACTGCGAATCATAAACGGTGTTAAAATTCAAGTGGCGTTGAGAATTATTGCTGGTTAAAAGGGTGGTCACCCTCTGTAAGACCTGAAGGCCTTAGACTCAATCCCCAATCAGGTTGTGGATACGCACTGCTGAGGAGTATCATACTAGAATGAAACAAATGTCTAGCACTCTTTAATATAATGTTTAAATAAAGTCGCTTTATGATTTAAACTACAAAGCATCAATTGTTTGAACTTATTCATTTTTCTGAAGGAAAAAGCATTGGAGTCTACACCATGATTCATGCAAATCAAGTGCTAAATTTCAGGAGCCAAAGGGAATACCTACAGAGTTTATTGACTCGAATGGTGAGTGGAAGAAGTATTGTACCACTAACAGGGAATCCAGTCTCAGAAACCCAGCAAGTTTACAATAACTACGGTACTTGATGTGATTAAACTATATTGGTAGTACAATACCCCTCCCCACTTCCCTTTAAGACAGAACGAATTGTTTAAGGATTCCTTTCAGATGTGAATTTTATCAATATACTTTTGGTATATTTGATAAATGTTCAACAAGCTCTCCTCCTAAAGTCTCAACTATCCATTAAAATGTAACTAAACATGTCCGAAAAATTGTTATATCGCTCCACCATGAGCTTCGTAAAAGTATTCCATACCTATAAAAGCGGTACGAAACAAAAAATTACCTCACTTTTGGGTAACATGAACTCATGATTAGTTCTTAACACAGTCCTTCTAGTGACTTTTGATTATCTGTCAATTCTTCCCTCAAACATTCTGTAGTCAACATGTATTCGTTATAGTATCTGTCGTTAGTCTCTTGTTTGTGAGTTCTTTTGTTGTTGGATTCATTGCATCAGCTTGTCTTTTGGTGAAGCTAAATAGTTGGTTGGTTTTCCCTATCCCTTTTGTCTTTCTTATTTCTTTTAGATTCCAGTCACTGACTTCTCTATTACTGGTAAGATTGATTTTTCCTTGACTCTTTTAACACTAATCTATTCCTCCCATACACCATGATATTTCAATCCATTTTTCAAAATTACGTTCCTTTTTCTCTAAGTATCTTTATCCGTGTTCATCATTTTGGGCTTATACCAATTCTGATATCTAGAAATGTATGTTAATAGCCAAACACCTTATCGTCGAATTGTCTGTAGTTATCATTTAGCGAAACCGAAGTCAGTTGTATCGTGCGTATAACTAAGTAGTCATACTATCGGAGTGCTGAGCATAGTCCTGCTTGGTTGACTAATAGAAAAACTGGAACGACGAGCTCATTCCCGAAACATTAGATCAACACACCAAGACAAATTTAGCTTCCATGGTTATCTAAAAAATTTTGTCGAATCTGCTTTATGCTTCTATAATCCGCCTTTTGAACACATTGGAAGCCATACGAATACATATCCATATATTTACATTTTTTATGAAGAAACGTTTGTATATTCTCTTCATTTAACTTTGCTTACGTTTCGGGAAATATTCGTAATTATAACTAACGAAAACATTTTTATTTTAGGACACGAAATTTGGTGCGAAAATATTCATTGATTTATTACTTTGTAATATGCATAAATGGTTTATCAGTGGGTTTGAGTAACATGTTTATTATTAGTTGCCATTGTTGTGTGGAGTATACACTGATAGAATAGTAGTCTCATTTCTTATGTAAACTTACTAACAAGAAAAAACTGGCTAATGATCAAGTTCAATGAAATCCTTTTAGTTTACTAACATAATAAATGAGAATGTATAGGCATGTATCTAATCCAATACTTATTTTTGATTTAAAAGCGCTCTCGCAATACATTTAGAATAAATTTCGATGGGTAAATGAGATTTCTTTCATAAAACTTAGTTATCTCGAAGCAGTAAATTGGTCATCAATTTTTTGAAAAAAAGGTTACATGGAATTTAATTTTCTTAGTAATTCACGCTATTCAAGCAAATCACACATCATTATGTACTTTAGTTTCAATTCCACGTTTAGCTTAAGTTTTTTTCCTCTATTTGTTTGAATAATTCGCTAACTTACCTAGAATTATACAGGTAGTGAAAGGAATCGATAAATAGCATTGGGATTTGCAAATATTAGACCTAATTTTTAAAAAGTATAGATAAACAAACTTGCGTAAATTTAATCAAGATATCTGAGTTAGTCATTAAAAACAGCAGATAGAAGACAGAACTAATTCCCTATTTACTGAAACACCATTTTCTCTTGTTAATATACTAACGAGTAAAAGCTACTATTTAAACATCATACATAACGGTCTGACAGGTTTTCAAGTTATTTAGAAGGATTTAGACGATGGAATAGCTGTGACTTTGTCGGGACTAAGGTTATAATGGTACAATTGAAAAAGCTCGGCTTTGGTGAGCTAACTTATGACTATTTTTATTCAAAGGGTAAACAGCACTTTAGAATGGTCTTTCCCAGTAATCATCCAATGAGAAACAATGGCGATTTTTCTAACAAGTGCCACTTTGATGTGTCAAATAAAGTGGATAGTAGTATGGAGATCAGCCCTCCTCCCAACGATTAACTCGTGGACTCTACTAATTAGATTAGAATCAGGTAAACATTAGACATATTTGAATGTTATAACTTTTAGAAATCAGTTCGATTAAAAAACTAAGTCAATGAACTTTATTTCAATTTAGTAGAATACCAGACCGGTTTTTAAAAAAGAAAAGTGACATATGGTGATTGGTCTTCGAGGTCTCTGAACTGTTCTACTAAAAAAATTACCTTGTACTCCTGAAACATCCTTCCAAAATAAGTATTTAACGGGTAATTTAAGTACTAAAAATATTAAAAACTCACCTTAGTGGAGATCATGCAACCCAAAATTTGAGCAGCAATAAATAATTGATTAATAACTTTTATTGCCTCGTTGACTTCAGATAAACTAAACACCTGAGATGTGGCATGTGTAACGACTAAACTAATTATATCTACTTCGTCAGTAGTAGTTATACTTGACGAATAAGATGTTTTCTTCCGAAATGAAACCACAGGCATCATATTTATTAAAGACATATTTCCAATGGGTGATATTCGACTAAGTGCATCAGCTAGACCATTTGCAATACCAGTTAAAAGATGCTGAGTATGTTGAGTAGCAGATTCTTCAAGATGTAATATTAATATTGGTATTAAACTGGCTGCTTTTAAACGTGTTGCTTCTTGCCAGTCTGAAAGATCTTTACATAAACCTGGAAATAGTTTGGATGCCGATCTGTAGACGAGCTCTCGACAACCTGTAAAAAAGCATACTCTTTCAGTATACATTTATTGTAGTATATCATTACGAAATAAGGTAACTTGACTCAAAGTGTGAAAGAAAAAGCTACACAAGGTGTACTATTGATGTTGATATCTTCGATAAAATGACCGTTACAGATAGGAAATGGTCAACTATGAGTTAATGGAAAGTGATTCCCTAATATAAATTTGATGGCTTCCGGGACATTTCAATACTCACATGACAATCAGTATTCTCAAGTGAAGGGTTGTGAAATACACTACTGGCCTGAATAGATAAGCCATACATTATATGACGTCGACCCTTGGTTTGAATGGGCAACCCTTGTGTCAACTAACTACCTAATTAGTTTAATAAGGAAAGCAAATTCTGCAATTTTTCATGTCCACAAGTTTTGGCTCGGTGTTTTTCTTTAGAAGATGATCATGGAACAGTGAGAAAACGCCCGCCTCAACGGCAACATGAATAATATGATGTGGGTTTAGTCATATGTAATATGGAATTTACTGTATTCCATTTAGTATTAAGGTTGTCAATGAAGGAAGCTCCCAGCTTTCCTGAAACAAGGACATAGACTTATGAAGAACTCTACTTTGATATCGGAAAGAATGGGTCGCATCGTTAATTTTAGTTCAGCAGCTCTTATTCATATTAAGTACAAAATTAAGTTGTTTCTTTTTAACAGATAACATCATGAATCTTAACTTAATATGATAACAGCAAACTAATAGTGCAGTTCAAGCTTTGACTTAATCAAGCACTCTTGTGGGGGATACTAATTACTTGGAAAACTTACCCAGTATTGGTCGTTTGCACCCACATGGATAGTGAAATGGAGGACCGTGGTCGAAATCCAGTTTATCTTTCAGCTGCTCTTCGTTCTCTTTCTCAAATTTTAGTCCTGAAAGCTTACAAAGTTTAATCAATTTTCCTAACTTACCTATATGATGCCATAATTTTGTAGCAACCATACGAATTTCATCTGATTCGTCAATGAAACCAGAAAGAAGCAGAGGCAATAACTTTGTTTGGTATGAATACCGATCAGGTAAATCCAACAACCATGAGCCCACCAGTTCAATAACAGCTCGTCTAACTGCTGATGATGAATCAAAAAGCCTTTGAGTTAATGGCGCGATAACATTTTCAACAAGCTTTCCCTGGCTGTGCAGCAAAACCTTTTCAAGAGCGACCACAATTTCTAATCTGACTTTAGAATGTTGATGTGTAAGATTTGACAACATGGGCAACAAAATAGACTCAGAAATTTGATAAAATCGATGGCATTTTCTTTCTGATAAAACGACTGCTATTCTACAAGACAATTTTTTAACTTCATGATATGGATCGACAAGTGTCTTTTGAATTACTGAAATATAATCATCGAGAAACGGAGATATTTCATCAGTTCTATTCACCAAAATATATAAGAGATTAAGTGTGGAGTAGCGAATTTCTTCGGAATGTTCTATTATTTCTTTCTGTCCTAAACGCATAACCAGTACAGGCACTAATAATGGAAGCACAGGCGTCACGTCATTAGTTACATCTATGAAGAGCTTTAAAACCTTCACTGCAAGTTCGCGATTGACCTCAACAGGATCATTTAGAGTCTTTGCCAGGTTTTCTGCTACTGTACTAAAAATAGTACTTTCTTTATCGCTGTTAGTACTTAAGTAGTCTTCCACAGACTTCAGAGCTTTTTTTCGAACAAACCTGTCTTCATCTGTTAACAGTGTAATATATCGAGCAATATTACACAGATTATCACCCATATTCTGATGATTGATTTGTTGCACTTAGTAGCAACCGTACAAACAAAACCTCAAACCTGCCACCCTACATATGACATTCAATATCTCGAGTTCATTGATCCATCAAAATCTCACATTATCATAATACAATGAAGTTGGGTACTTTTCTTATTACCTGGCGCAGAATGTCTATTTAGGATTTTAAGCCAACTAGGATATATCAGGTTAAAAGTTTTAAATTTCAACTTAAGAATCTCAATTTCACTTTGGTAAGGACAAGAGGTTTGGTGATCTGTGCTGATCCTGGCAACGGTGGCCAAATTTCTTCTGAAAGCATCTACAAATGGAGCTTTATTCACGTGTTGGAGTAATGAATTTCATTAGTTGGTGATCCGTTGAAAAAGTCGATAGCAAGCTGACAAGTAATTTGTTCTGGTCTTGTGAACCTTTTTCATATTGTCCCTATGAATGCTCTATCTTGAAAGACAAGAAAAGTTAAAGCATATCGGATGCAAACTTATCACCAAGTAATTTAAAAACTGTGGTCGAGTCGCTTCGGATAGTAACATATGAAAATGGAAACAGTTTAGTTTAGCCATATGTGAATTGTAGCGGCACATAAATCTCCAAATCGATAGCTTTGTGAGTGGTTGACATTGGATGCTGACCAGATTAGTTTTAATGGACTTAACTAGCTAAAGGTGCTCGGCCATGCATCCGCGCCAGATCACGGTTTGCAACGGCGTCCTCAACGTCTCCTGTGATCACTAGCCAGATTAGATTAGTCACTCCTCGATATACTGATAATCCATCAAATATATATTCCAACCTCCTCGCTTCTGACTTTTGATTTCACCGAGTGGGCGCGATTCGATTGTAGGTGTAACCGGCAAAGTGTTGTCGAACTACAATACCTGTCGCATCTTCATTGTTAAGCCCGACGTGATCTGGTACACCAACATATAAACTGTGAGTCTGTTTCTTTTTGGAATTTCATAAACCATTGCTTTATTTTAACTTTTATATATTGTGATATTTTTTGCGAGTTTTCGGATACATTTTATTTTTTCTTCGTTCATTCTCATACTTGGTTTTTCATCATGACGGAACAGACACCCAATGTACTTAAGCTAAAGGCTATGCTCCCACCTTCGTTTCAACTAGTGCCTTTCTGACCAGATAATATCGAAACCTGGTTCTGCTACGCCGAGGCCAATTTCCATGACCAAGGAGTGACTGATTCACGCGCACAAAAGCACTACCGCGCGAGTCCAACAGGTACGTAACACCTAGTATATTTACTCGTGATGTTACGGAACTTTACGAAATTCTAAAACGGTCCATTCTGAAACGTGGAGATCTAACCGATCGACAAAGATTGGTTCAACTCCTTAATAGTATCGACCTACAACATGATTCTGCGACAGACGTGTTGCAAGAGATGCAAGCAGTACTCGTCCCGTTTCAAAACAACGCCGTGGACGAGCTGGCTGCATCTCCCGGCCGCATCCTCGCAATCAATAAGGCCTCAAATGCCGTGGCGTTTTCAGTCAAAGGAAAACCTCAAGAGGAACAGAATGACATTTCAGATCTTTGTCACAAACTGACACGTTTCCCTCGGTTTCGCAATGACCGTAAACGGTCGCAAACCTCACGAAGAAGCATTCCACGTAGACGATCTGTCTCCAGACACCGAGAGACGAATAACCCCGACTGGTGCTGGTATCATAACCAGCATGGAAAATCTTCCAAAAATTGCAAAAAACCCTACAATTATCCGAACCCAAAATCGATCGACACAAAAAACAATTCGGGAAACTTCCCAGCCGACACACGTTAACGGAGACCGTAGCCGGCGAACATAACCGTCTGTTATACGTCACAGATGTGATCATCGATACTAGCGCAAAAGTTAGCTTTCTTCCTGCTTATTCTAACGACAGGTTTCACGGATCTGTTTTAAACTTACAGGCGGCAAACGGAAAACCGATCGCCACATATGGGAAAAAGTACGTTTGCCCTAACGTGTGTTTACGCAAAGCCATTCACTGGATTTTCATGGTTCAGAAGTTTCTGCCAACCATTGGTATAGATCTGCTACACACCAATACGCGCAATCAGAGGCTAGTAGAAGGAAACACTAAATTATCTGTTTCCGTAACTTCTTTTTCCGAATGTAAATTATTCCCAATCACAATTAGGCACACAACAGACCCATTCTGTCATCCATTACTCGATAGGTACTCTGGGATATATCAACCGCAACCGACATTGCCGTGTGTAACCAGCAATGCTACACAGCACATCACGACCACAGGACCACCTGTATTCTCGAAAGCACGTCGACTGGCTTCCGAAAAGCTGAGGTTGGCTAAGAACGAATTCGACCACATGATAGAGTTAGAAATCATTCGACTTTCAAACAGCCCATAGGTATCTCCTTTGCACATAGTCCCCAAAAAGGACAGCATCGATTGGAGTCTAACTGGTGACTATCGGCGTTTGAATGAGAGAACCATTCCTGATCGTTGCCTGTTGCCTCATATTCACGGTTTGACAGCCACCTTGAAAGCCATAACTGTCTTTTCGAAAATCGACTTGGTTAAAGCTTATCACGAAATCCCTATGGCTACTGACGATATTCTAAAAACCGCTACCATCACTCCCTTCAGACTCTACAAATTTTTATGAATGCCTTTCGGCCTGAGAAATGCCGTTCAAACCTTCCAAAGGTTCATAGATGACGTTTTCCGAGGTCTCAACTTCCTACATGATGACTGATTGGTACCATGGTCAGACAGAGAATCCCATCTCTAGCATCTGGACATTGTGTTCGAACGACCTCAAAGGCATGGCATTACGGTAAGCATTCAGAAATGCCAAAACTGAACCAACTCTCTAGACTTTCTAGGACACACTATTAATGTTCAAAAAATCCGACATTATAGTGGCAAAGTGGTGGCCATTCTGGATTACCCAGAACTAACAACCACCAAGCCATTACGCATATAACATCCTTGTAAGTTTCTATAGACGGTTCATACACAAATTCGCGTTTCTTATGAAACCGCTCACGGGCCTACTTCATGGAAATGCAAAATCTATTAATCTGGCCGACACATCGCAAAACGCATTCTCCACAGTTAGGGAACTTATCGCAAAAGCAACCATGCTTTCACACCAGGACACTGAAGCACCCATCGGTATCGCAGTAGATTCAACCGACTCAACAATCGGGGGAGCCTTACAACAATGGGTTAACCACTCCTAGCAAGATTTGTCATTCTTCTCGAAACAGTTACTAGACACTGAATCGAGTTACAGGACTTTCGGTAAGGAACTGATAACTATATATTGTGCTGTACGGCATTTCCAGCACTCTATCGAAGGAAGAGAATTGACCCTTTTTACCGATAATAAACCTCTTACTTTCCTTTTTAGCTCATCTACAGACAAGTACTCACCTCGTAAGCCTCGACAACTCGACTACATTTCACAGTTTACTTCGGATATACAACACATTTCTGGAGCAAAGAATGTACTCGCAAACATCTTGTCTCGCATTAGTTCCTCGAACAGTTTCCAAGGAATCGACCCTCTTAAACCCGCCCAGCTTCAAAAAGAAGACATTGATCTTCAGCATGAGTTATCCTCGACAACTCTAAAACTAAGTATTAAGCAGATGGGAACAGGTAAGGAGACCTTACTATGTAACACATCTACAGGTAGGGATCGTCCAATCGCACCGAAACAATATCTACACAACGTCTTCAATACGTTGCACAATCTTTCTCATCCAGGTGTTCGTGCATCCATCAAGCTTATAGCAAAACGGTTTTACTGGCCTGGATTGAATAAAGACGTGAGGGAGTGGGCACGCTCCTGTGTAAGCTGCCAGAAATCTAAGGTGATTAGGCACAAAAATAACCCTTAGGCCGGTTCAAAATTTTCGTTTCCAAAATGATCATCCAGATTTGATAGGACCCTTACCAGATTCAAATGGACACTCTTATCTTCTAACCTGCCTAGACCGTTTCACTCGATGGCCAGAAGCAGTACCTATTAAAGACATTACTGCTAAAACAGTGGCTCGCGCCTTCGTTGAACGACGGGTAGGAAATTTCGGCTGTCCTTCAACCACCACCACAGACCGCGGACTCCAGTTTCTAATCTGAACTTTTCCGTTGTCTGACCTCACTATTAAGAATTGCTCGCTTACGAACGACCACCCACCAGCAAACGTATTGGTAGGACGCTTTCACTGACAACTAAAAGCTTCACTATCAGCTACAAACGTTCCACAGTGGACAGACGCTCTTCCACTCGTCTTATTATGTATCCGCAATGCAATGAAAGCTAACCTTGCATACACTGCAGCTCAACTAGTTTATGAAACGACGCTTCGACTTCCAGCAGGATTTGTGGATTCCTCGTCTTCTTCAGTGAACGTGGATCTTAACTCCTACACGAGCAGGCTTACAAACGCAATGTGTTCAGTTAAACCTGCTTCCACTCGACCGCAATCAACTGATGTTTTGGTTCAACCTGACTTACGACATAGCACATACGTCTTTGTCAGTCAAGACTCACATCGACGATCCTTCGAATCTGCATACGACGGACTCTTAAAAGTTCTTCAGAGTGAATATAAGTACTATATAGTAGAAAACGACGGCACTAACGATAGCACCAGTATTGATCAAATGGAAGCATAGTATTTGGGAGGAAATCCTATCCACGTCTATTTTCCCTCTGCACAATCGAACGACACGGCTCCTTCACTTGCAATACCTCATCTGACAGCCAACACGCATGTTGATATTTCGATAGTCTCTGAAAATAAACCTAGAACAACGCGTTCTGAAAGAAGACTGAGATTTCCAGAACACGTAAACGACTGTTGCACACAAGACACCAGTTCATTTTTTGCTTTATCTCGATTGTTCTTTGTACTATATATTATTATTGTTTTGCTAATAAACGACGCAGCTACTCCTATTGCATACTATTGCGTCCAATTATGAGTTTTTGTCCGTTCCAACTATTGAAGTACTGGCCGTCGATATTCGCAAATCACGAACCCAAGTAGGCAAGAGAACCAAAACTCCAAATTAGATACCAATTTTATTCGCAATTCACAAATAATCGATGAAAGTCGTTCCAACAACAATAGTTATAACAATTACAAAACAAACCTTCAATTTTGTAGGTTCCCGGAGCAACAACTCCCAAATACCAAACCAATGACAAAAGAAACCAAAAAGTTCGAAAAGAATGATATAAACAAACAAGTCCAAAGGTTAAGTAAAACAAACACATCTAAAAACACAGTAAAAATGATGTGCAGTAAAAAGGTTTTAATCAGCCAAATGTCTTCAGTTCTCCCGTAACACTTACTATTGTCATACAATGACACTCGACAAGACTTCAAAAATCAGAACACGTTGAACAGGAAGAAATTGTATTCGAAATAACAAGGGTAGATAAGCAGCAATCATTGGTTAGAAAAACGTTCATATATTTACAGTATATGCATAAGAAGCTTCTAGATGCTTCTCCAATAATCTGCCAGATTGACTGGTTTAGAATTAGACAATGAGCGTGCGCTGTCACGATCATGCACATAACGTGCCTTAATCCGGTTTATTTCCCGCTAACACATAAAATAAAAAATTTTAATATGCTTATTCTTATATATTTATTCCAAAAATTTGAATTCTTTTTTAAAAAAACGAAAAAGGTCTTTTGAAAATCGCTTCTACGCTGTCGCACCTGTATAAGTTTATTTACATTTCTTTCGCCCACTTTGTTTCTTTACGGGCGGATGAGTGTATTTTGACATACATTTACATATTCTACTTTTCTTTTACAGGATGGCTGGAAAAGACAATAAAAGGAACGATGAAGTTTACAAGGAACCGAATTTTAGATTGTAACTTGTTTCCTTATGACTATGTTGTACTTCATTGTCCATTATTGTAAGGAAAGACGACCAGACGCTGCTAAACGAAGCAAGCTATCAGAAGAGTGTTTACCAACGACAAACTCGTTGGGTTTAAAATTCTGGCTGGCCAAGTCGTATGGCCATCACTAGGGAGAGAATGATCTGTAGCGGTAAATTAATCTCCAAAATCGATAGCTTTGTGAGTGGTTGACATTGGATGCTGACCAGATTAGTTTTAATGGACTTAACTAGCTAAAGGTGCTCGGCCATGCATCCGCGCCAGATCACGGTTTGCAACGGCGTCCTCAACGTCTCCTGTGATCACTAGCCAGATTAGATTAGTCACTCCTCGATATACTGATAATCCATCAAATATATATTCCAACCTCCTCGCTTCTGACTTTTGATTTCACCGAGTGGGCGCGATTCGATTGTAGGTGTAACCGGCAAAGTGTTGTCGAACTACAATACCTGTCGCATCTTCATCATCATACTGGGGCTTTTCTGCTTCAGAAATCAGCTTGATTGCGGTTCTTTGAACCTTTACAAACACCTCACTGTCGCTTTTTTGTCAGGGTTATTTTCTTCCATTCAGCCTTCGAGTTTTGAACATACGATAACTGTATACACAGTCAGTAAGGTTTCAACATCGAAATGATTCAAAATTGTTTAGAAGGTCGTAAAACAAGCCTAGGATGCCTTAAAAAGTGGTGATCTGTTTAGGTCTTAGTTGAATCACTATGCTCATTGAGAATAGAGTACTAATATAAATTTGTGTTCCATTTCTAGTTTGCCTTCAGAGCATAACCTATCCTCTCTTCATTCAGTAGGGTCAAAGTCTTTGTATCACTCATATATCATAGAAAAGTTCTGTTAACTAAGGATCATGGAAACAAAGTAGCTAGGTATGGAACATCTTAGATCGAACAATCAACGTTGCAATCAAAGAATTTGTTAAGAATATAGTTCTTGTTCGCAGATGCCATAATGAATCGAGAACACCCACAGTTTAAAATTCATTACTAATGAGTTCCTAGTGTAGCTGTATACAAATAATAGTGGTAAATAAATCCCCGAAATAAATAGTTCTCTAAGTCCCTGGCATTGGTGCTGACCTCATTGATTTTACTGGACACATCTGCCTGGAGTCGCTCGGTCACGCATCCGCACCAGATCATGAGTGTGTACACCGTGCTCCGTTACTCCTACAACCGTTAGCAAGCATAAATTAGTCTTTTCTCGATATATCGATAATCTATCGATTATATCTTCGAGACTCTTCGCTTCTGACTTCTGATTTAACTGGGTAGGGACGTTTCAATTATCAAAAATGTTACTGGTTATGGTGGCGTGAAACTCCGAGAACTTGTAGCATTTTTAGGGTGTTACGTAGACAGGCATTGTCAGACTCCGAATACAGGTTGCATCTTAAGACTTATCACCCAATTCATGCACTCATGAGTTGAAACTTTACAACTAAAAGAATTTCTAGGTTGATTTATCATAATTTAATGATCGTGGCATACTGCTTTTCAAACACATTTGAGGGACCAATGAAACCTTACCAAAAATATTTATCCATGATAACAAGTCAAAAGTAGAGTACAGGAAATAACACAGTTGCTGGAGATGTTCGACTGATGTCGTTGCCTATTCTATTCCACGTTAGTTGTTATTGGCTCCTCTTTTATGTCTTGGAAAAAATGCCCAACACTATGATTACGGAGACCAAGTGACTTGACAAGTCTATTTGAATCCCCTAAAAACCTAAAGCTGTCTACTATGAGAAATTATGAGGACAGCGAAAGCAAAAAAAGGATTTGCAGAAGCATTTCACAAAGATTTTGGATATTTCTCCAAAAGCATCACAAATTCAGTATTTAAATACTATAAATTAGATGAATCAAATACAATATGTACGACACAATATTAAAAAGCATGACAAATACTAAAGTGCAAGAGAAAATTAGGTTCTTTTCAGCACGATCTGTTAATAACTTATCAGACATTGGGAGTTCTTTGAAATTGTTTTAGCTAACTAAGTTATTGTACTTATTAATCGGTGAAAAAATGAGTTGTGTAACGAGAGTGTTCTGTTGCAAATGCCGTTACGTAATCGCTACAATGGGATTTATCAACCTAATTCTGATTTACATGATGAGAGTTGACCTAAATGTCACAATGCTTGCCATGGTTAATGATACAGTTGACAAAACGTCCACAAATCATAAGTCATTTTTTTGTTCTGACTTTTATAATTACACGAGTCTTACGAACACTGAGGTATACTTCATTAAATCGGATAATACTTCTATGCAGATTAATGCAGGAGAGTTTAATTGGAATAGGTTGACACAAGGCCTGATATTAGGAGCATTCTTCTGGGGTTACATTTTAACTCAAATCCCAGGTTAGTTTCGTCTCTTTTTCTGTTTGGTTTATTTACTTTCTACTGAGTAGTAAATAAAGGTTTGTGCCAAATTGCGCGTTATCAAAACATTTGCTGAATCAGTCTTTTATCATTTTTACAAGTTTTGTCTTTTCGATCACGATTTTAATATCTTTTGATAAGTATCACATTGATAGTGTAACTCAGATAATAATAAAACATTCAGTGTTCTTATGTTCAAGATATAACAAACATTGATTTTAAGTCTTGTCAGCTATCAGTTCAGTAATATATGCCACCTGTAGTTTATCGGAAATTATGACGATGTTTGGGCTATCTGTTTGCCTGGTGACGATTGTTTTAGTCTTCAGTAATAAGGATAGGCGGTCTATCGACCTATATTAATCTTTGCAGTTTGTAAAACTGTGGAGGCACAATCTTTTTCTGAATATATTAACAGAAGGTGCTGATATCACGTGTTCTGGTAGACGATCCCAGATCAAGACGCAGACGATTTGACCTCGGTTTATGAACTTTCTTCGAACGTCCTCTCAAATGATCAGTCTTAGATAAGACATATCAATGTATTGTCACCCTTTGTTCTGCTGTAAGATTACGGAATTAAGTTGAGGTGTCTAAATCTGTCTTCATAAGATAGGCCAGATAGACCATTTACCACTTTAGTCTCTCCTCGTTGAACTCGTTCCAGAATATCCGCCTCATACTTGAAACAAGGATTCATCGCCTGAATCCCATATTCCAAATGTGGTCGCACGAAACTCGGGTATAATAATCTAAACATTTCCTCATCCAAATACTGAAAAAGTCTACAAATAGACCATAATACTCTATAGCCTTTTATAGCAGCAGCCTTACAGTGACTGGTAGGTTTAATGTCATTGATCAGTATGACTCCTTAATCTATATATTTTCTTTGGGTAACACGAATCCACATATTGTGTGGTAATACCAACCACCATTGTTGCATCATCACCCTCTTGTTGTGATTCACCTATAGTGACTGATGATGCAACGGATGTTCTAGTTTTACAACTAGCTACCAGTAGCACCTTCTATGTTCGATCGTTCCCAGTCAGATAGAAATCAGAAGTCAGACGAGAAGAGGCAGGAAAGATATATTTGATTCGTTACCAATATATCGAGGACCTTTTCTATGAGCTGGCTAATGAAACGTAGGAGCTGTGTCCCACGCCGTGTTGAAACGTGATCTGGTGCGGATGCATGACCGAAAGCCTTCAGCTAAACAAGTCCACTTAAACAACATGGTCAGCATCCAATGTCGAACACTTAATGAACTATTGATTTTGGGGAATTATTTACAGCTACAGATCACTCCCTCCTAGTGAGGTAGTGATGCCTCTAAGACGTGACCAGCCAGAATTTTAAACCCAACGAGTTTGTCGTTGGTAAACACTCTTCTGATAGCTTGCTTCGTTTAGCAGCGTCTGGTCGTCTTTCCTTAAGCTAAGGGACCAAAATGTACAACATAGCAATAAAGAAATATAGTACAATGAAAATTTCGGTTCCTTGCGAAACTTCGTCGTTCTTTTCCAGCCGTCCTGGAAAAGAGGAAAAATAAAACGTGTGAGTGCATGTCGGAAATACACTGGTACTTGCGTAGGGACACAAGTTGAGCGGGAAAAAAATAAACTAATACACTTACCAACAGCGTAAAAGAGATCAGGAAAAAAGTGTTTTTTTGTGTTTTTTTATATATAAAAAATATATATATATACGCTCAAAAAAATGTTTTGTTTTTTTTTGGTTTTTTTATATAAATAAAAATTATCATATTAAAAATTTTTTTATAATGAACTATAGAAGGGTAATTCAAGACAAAGCTTATGTCCTACGTGTAATATTCGTTAAAATGTTCTGGAAATCTTACTCGTCTTCCAGAACGCGTTGTTTTAGGTTTTTCTATCGACGTTGACGAAGTATCAAGTTGTGTGTCGGTTGTCGTGTAGGGTACTACGAGTGTAGTAGCTGTGTCGTTTGCTTGTACCGAAGGAAAATCGACGTAGCTAGGGTTTCCTTCTAGGTATGCTGCTTTGAGTCGATCGATACTGATGCTATCTTTCGTACCGTTTTTATCAACTACATAGTACTTAGGTTCGCGTTGAAGAACTTTGAAGGGTCCTTCGTATGCTGATTCGAGGGGTCGTCGATGTGAGTATCGACGAACGAAAACGTGTGTACTATGTCGTAATTCGGGTTGAACGAAAACATCAGTTGATTGAAGTCGAGTGTGAGCAGGTTTAACTGAAAGCATAGCGTTTGTAAGCCTACTCGTGTAAGAGTTTAGATCCATGTTCAATGAAGAAGCTGAAAGATCCACGAATTCTCCTGGGAGTCGGAGTGTCGTTCCGTAAACGAGTTGAGATGCCGTGTATCCAATGTCAGCTTTCACTGCATTGCGGATACCTAGCAAGACGAGTGGAAGAGCGTCTGTCCACTGTGAAACGTTTGAAGCTGATAATGAAGCTTTTAGTTGTCGATGAAAACGTTCTACCAACCCGTTTGCTTGTGGGTGGTAGGCGGTCGTTCGGAAGCGCGTGATTCCTAATAGTGAGGTGAGACAACGGAAAAGTCCAGATTCGAATTGGCGTCCGCGGTCTGTAGTGATTGTGGAAGGGCAGTCGAAATTTGCTACCCATCGTTCGACAAAAGCGCGGGCCACGGTTTCAGCAGTAATGTCCTTAATCGGTACTGCTTCTGGCCATCGAGTAAAACGGTCTACGCATGTTAGGAGATATGAGTATCCGTTCGAGTCGGGTAAGGGTCCTACCAAATCTAGATGGACGTGGTCGAAACGAGCGTCAGGGGTTTTGAAAGAGCCTAAGAGACATTTATTGTGTCTGATTACCTTAGATTTCTGACAGCTTACACAGGAGCGTGCCCACTCCCTCACGTCTTTATTCATGCCAGGCCAACAAAAGCGTTCGGCTATAAGTTCGATTGTTGCACGAGCACCTGGATGAGAAAGATTGTGCAACGTATTGAAGACGTTGCGTCGATAATGTTTTGGTACAATTGGACGATCCCTACCTGTAGATGTGTCACAGAGTAAAGTTTCCTTACCTGTTCCCATCTGCTTAATACTTAGTTTTAGAGTTGTCGAGGATAACTCATGCTGAAGATCAATGTCTTCTTTTTGAAGCTGAGCGAGTTTAAGAAGGTCGATTCCTTGGAAACTGTTCAAGGAGTTTATTCGAGACAAGGCGTCTGCGACTACATTGTTAGCTACAGAAATATGTTGTATGTCTGAAGTAAACTGCGAAATGTAGTCGAGTTGTCGAGACTCTCGTGGTGAGTACTTGTCTGAAGATGAATTTAAAGAGAAGGTAAGAGGTTTGTGATCGGTAAAAAGCGTGAATTCTCTTCCTTCGATGGAATGTTGGAAATGCCGTACAGCACAATACATAGCTAGGAGTTCCCTACCGAACGTGCTGTATCTAGATTTCGCGTCTAGCAACCGTCTCAAGAAAAATCCTAAAGGTTGCCACGAGTTGTTAACCCATTGTTGTAAGACTGCTCCGATTGCTGAGTCGGATGCGTCCACTGCGATACTAATGGGCGCTTGAGTGTCCTGATGAGCAAGCAAGGTTGCTTTAGCGATGTGTTCCTTAACTGTGGAGAATGCTTTACGGGCTATGTCGTCTAAACTAATTGATTTCGCATTTCCACGAAGCTGATCGGTTAACGGTTTCATTAGGGATGCGCACTTGGGTATGAACCGTCTATAGAAACTCACGAGTCCGTTGAAAGTTCGTAAGTGCTTGATCGTGGTCGGTTCTGGGTAATCCAGAATGGCCGCCACTTTGCTTTTAAGGGGTCGGATGCCTTGGGCATCAATAGTGTGTCCTAAGAAGTCTAAGGAGTTAGTTCCGATTTGGCATTTCTGAATATTGTCAGTAATGCCATGCCGTTGGAGTCGATCGAAAACAATGTCCAGATGCTTGAGATGTGATTCTCTGTCCGGACTTGCTATTAGACAGTCATCAACATACGCATGTACGAAGTTGAGACCTCGGAAGACGTCGTCTATAAACCTTTGGAAGGTTTGAGCCGCGTTTCTTAAACCAAAAGGCATTCGTAGAAATTCGTAAAGACCGAAAGGAGTGATGATGGCGGTTTTAGGAATGTCGTCAGGTGCCATCGGGATTTGGTTATAAGCTTTAACCAAGTCGATTTTCGAAAAGACAGTTGTACATTTCAAGGTAGCTGTCAAATCGTGAATATGAGGCAGCGGGTAACGATCGGGAATGGTTTTAGCCTTCATACGCCGATAATCACCAGTTGGCCGCCAATCATTGCTGTCCTTTTTAGGGACCATGTGCAATGAGGATGCCCATGGACTATTAGATGGTCGAATTATCCCTAGGTCCATCATGTGGTCGAATTCGTTTTTAGCTAACTTAAGCTTCTCGGGAGCGAGTCTTCGAGCTTTCGAAAATACAGGTGGTCCTGTAGTCGTGATGTGATGTGTAACATTGCTGGTTACACAAGGCAATTTCGATTGCGATTGGTATATCCCGGGGTATTTGTCGAGTACTGATTGGTACAAGGGGTCTATGGTGTGTTTAATCGTGACTGGGGATAACCTGCAACCGGAACAAGGAGTTACGCTAACAGATAACTTAGTGTTTCCGTCTATTAACTTTCGTGAGCGTGTGTCGATGAATAGATTGTGGTGTTGTGACAGGTCTATACCAATGATTGGCATAGAGACATCTGCAACCACGAAAATCCAGTGTATGGGTTTGCGTAAACCCACGTTAAGGTAGACGTACCTTTTACCATAAGTAGCAATTGGCTTTCCGTTTGCCGCCTGTAAACTTAAAACAGACTCGCGAAGTCTGTCGTCGGGATTTGCTGGAAGAACGCTAACTTCTGCGCCAGTGTCGACGAGGTAGCGAACTTTCGTAGTCACATCCGTGACGTATAACAGACGGCTGTGTTGGCCGGCTACGGTTGCCGTTAACGCGTGCCGGCTGGGA